TCCAGGAGACAAATGCCTTTTAACTGCCACCTCCCCACAAGAAGTTCATTATTGGTTTGGGCTTGTTATTGTCTTCCAGAATCTAATCTGTATTTTCCTTCCCACTTAAATTTGGTTCTTGCCTGTACTTCCGTTCCCGGCTTTGGAACTATTTCTGGAACCCACAGATCAATCATCTTTCACTTGATACTGAGATAAAGATGCCTCTTTCCATGTGCACCAGCTTCCTGCAGCTCAGTGCAAGTCTTCCAGTCTGCTGAGTGGTTACTAACTAATCTGTGATAATGCATTGTCAGAGGAAAATACTAAAACATGCATTTTAGATTTGGAAGGAGAAATCGAATTTACGTTGTGTGAGATTTCGTTCTAAATCAAATGATTATAAAGCTCCATGTAGGACCATTCGCTATGAGAGCTCCAGGTATTTTCTCACCAATCATTCAGGGATGCTGCAGGAGGAGGGAGAGCTGCCTGAGCCACTGACAGCAATTCTGAGTCTGGAATTGCAGTGTCAGTGCTGACCACTCAGATACACCTTCTGGGAAAATGGAGGTAGGAAATTGTGGTATTTAACACGTTAGGATACTGCACATTGCACTGCCACAGACAGCTCATGGACAAAGCTGTGATGTGAGCTACTTGCTCAGTTCATGTCAGCCCTGATCTCCTGTGCTGGTGGCAAAGAGTTGCCCTCCTTCCTTCTTCATTCACAGAAGGAAATTTCCCAGATGTCACTCTGAGCACTCCAGTGCTTTGGGACTTGTTGTGTTGAGGTCAGAAAGCCTTGGGTTTTGTTTTCAAGGTGTATTGGATCTCCAAGTCCTAAGCAGAGGAAAGTCTTTATCACACTTTGGCAGTTAACATAGTTTAAAAGTAAAATATTTGTTTACACCTTCACGATACTGAGTCAGAAATTTACTAACTCAGTTTAGGAAACTCAAGTGCTTTTGTACTCTGAGGAGCTGCTTGTAAGGGTATTTTCTGATCTTGTTGACTCTTGTATGAACACAAAGGAAGGCTGGAACCTCGGCCAACGTAAACCTGGCTCTGCAGGCTGCATTGAGCAGCACCAATTTACATCAGCTGAAAGTGGCTCCCAAAATGTAATCGCACGGAAGAAAAAGGCATGTGGAAGTTGCACTGCTTTGGTAATTGCACTGGCTTGGTCCCACCATTCAGGAGTGACAGCCTTTCCTTTCCTGGCAGAGAGCCACTGTTGTGCTGATGGCTCTGGATAAGAGATTAAAGGCAAAAAGTAGGTTAGAATAGTGTGGGAATGAGTCCCTGGGAGCTGTACCTCAGGGTGGGTTCAAGAAATGCAGTGACTGCAGTCAGTTTGTATTCCTTCAAGCAGGAGTGACCATTAGGAGCTGATTTTAGTAAGAGTGAATTTCAGTCAGAAGACACGGGCACTCCTAAGCCCACAGGCACTAAGATCAGGTGGAGATGGCTCAGATTTTTGCAGTTTCCTGCTTGCAGCCCATGCTGGGTGTGAGAGGCCAAGTAAAGCATTGCTATGGTATGTCCTACAAAGGTAGGGATTCTTAGCCTGATCCTTTTGATTCCTATAGGCAGGTTAAAGGTGCATGTGGTTGAGGTGATCTAATGATACGTTACTGTTATAAGGGACACCTGTGCTCCCTTTCCTTCTAGCCATCAGTCTAACACTCACCTGATCCCATGGCAGAGTGATTCAGCTCACTAAGCTGATAGAAAACTACCTGATCATCTGCTTAGCATTTTGCAGGGTAAGTTGCATTGCTTCAAGCTAAAGCAGACAGTTGCACAGAGGGCAGGTGGGACAGCCCCTTTTGTTTGCATTGGCACTGTGAGAACAGCTCATCCACCACTGTGCTTTCGTAGCAGCTTCAAGCTGAAGGTGATTTTCTCAAGAAAGGATCTAATCAGACCCTCACAGTCCATATTCTCCTAATTATCAGAAGTACTTTACTCCCTGCCACAGGGCTTTCAGAACTGTCCAAGCTGATCTCTTGCATAACATAGGCCAGAGGATGTTTTAAATGAACAGAATGTCAGCTGGAGGTGTTTTGGCAGAGATAAATCTGTATATTAAAAACAGGTCTTGCTGCAGAGATGCTGAAGGAGCCAGTCCTGTTGCTGCTCTAATAGTCAATTAGCTTCACTGTAATATTCTTTTAACCCCTAGACAGGGTTTTCTAGCATTAATTTACAGCCACCAGATTTGATGTCTGCCTACTAACATGAAATAACTAACATCTGAGCTATTCTAATTTATCCACTGCTTTACTGTCACGTTCATCGTTCAGTAGGAACATGTGGTCATCTTTGTGACTATTTTTTTCCCTAAATAGTATCTTCTTTGCCCACTTTCTTCCTTCAGCATGACTGTTCTGTTTCCATTTTTAGAAATGATCTATTTTCGCCTCCTTCAACATTGCATCTGTTGAAATTATTGGTAGTAAAATAGTTGGTGTGGACGCTTCAAGTTGGTGGTAGATGTGGATGTAAACAATAAGATGCTGAAATGGTGGCACAGAGGAGCATGTGTTGCTTAGCAGTGGTTTATGACTGGTATATTGCATTTGCATTCAGTACAATGCTATCTAAAGTTTACCCTCTTTCCGTGATCCTGACTTTAAACTGTTCACATTTAAATATAGCTAAAAAGTGGCATTTCCTTGTGTTTTTTTTTTTCTGTAATGGACTGAAAAATGTGGGTATTTATTTTGTTCACACTGATAGAGATTGGACTTCAACGAGAGGAAAAAAGCATGGAGCAAACTGGAAGCTGCTTAGGCTTAAATGCCTGTCCCAAAGGAGGCGGCTGCAGCAGCGTTCCATGTTGTAAGTAGGATAGATTGCTTCTTCCTTAGGCTGCATACAGCTGGGATCAGTTTGTCCTGAGCTCAGGGGAGTGGCTGATGAAAGAGCTGCTGAAACTGCTAAGTGATGTTTTCTGTGAAAGTCTTCAGAATTATATAAACTTGGATTAACTGTGCGAGGGTGGAAGTTTCTCCTCAGTCATTTTTTTTTTTTTTTTTGAGGCAGCTGTTTTAAAACTGCATTCATAAGCTCAGCCACTTGGAAACTACTGATTTTTCTTTTGTTGCCACCTTTGTTCTCATCACCTTTTCCAAAAGCTGCTCCAGAATTGCACGGCTATGATATAAGCCTTCTAATTTCTAGGCAGAATTTATTTGTATGTAGTTTATCCCTATTTTGCTCTGGGTTGTTGTTTTCTTTTTGCCAACGTTGTCCTCTATCTCACCACCTTCCCTCTTTACCTTGGCAAAAAAGATAGAAAAAGTCAGCAAAGCACTTTGCTGAAGGCACGGAGGAAATAACTTAGAAAGCCTGGACATTTAAGGAGGATTGCTATGCCAGTACCTGCAGAATTCTCCTCAACTTGATCTTTAAGAGCTTATAAATCAGACCTTAAGACCAAATAAAAACAAAATAAAACGGAAAATTGAAATTATGTTTCTGTCTTATGTTTGAGCTATTAGAGTGGATCTGGATTTGAGATTTCCTAGTGGTAATTTGTAGGAGCTTGTTTTTCTCTTCAAAAGCTGCTGGTTTCATGCAGTGACTTATGCCCGGGCACTGAGCTTTCAGGAAGGGAGCCAGTTAGAACTTGCAGAAGTTGGGAAACTTTTGTCAATGCTAGGTGAGCCTAAGCAAATACAAGCTGAGGGGATTTGCACTCCTTTGGGCCCAAATTTATACTTCAGTGGGTCTTTCCTTTATTACTACTTAACAAATCTTAAGCTCAACTTTCTTCTGACCAAAGTTGCTTTTATTTTATTTCCCTGCAAGCCATCAGTCCCTATGCTCTGACCGCTGTTATATCTTGAGAAAGAGCAGAAAGGAAACACCTGGCAGTGTGAATCAGCAAAAATCATGCACATCTTTGTGCAGGAAGAGGACTGTGTTTTAGCAGCACTCCAGCATTCCTGGGGTATAAAACTGCTTTGGGAGAAAGTGACTGGACATTGCTGTTAGTGCATGAGCCTGTGTAGGAACAACTTTGGTGGGATTTCTGCCAGTTACGGGAACATCCCAGAATATAACAGATACTCTGCAATGCTATAGTGCTGTAGGGAAATGATTGAAGAGAACGGTGCTTGCTATGGGAAGTTTGCAAAGTAAGAAGGATTTCAGAAGATGATAAGGAAATGCAGACAGAAGTGAGGCAAATTGTTTAATACCTTGTATCTTGTCTCTGATTTGTGTCGTCTCTTGTCTTTGCCTTGTACCCTGCATCTAATTGTCTGTAGTAGAAATTTTCCCTGCGAGTAATGACTGAGTCACTTGGTGCACATTTCCTCCCTTGTTTTAATATGCGAGGTCGAATGAAGTAAGAGGTCAGCAGACCCATGTTTCCCAGAGATGGCTGTGTCTGAACCACATTAGACTGAAAGCGTAACCTTCAAAAGAGTGCCAGGGAATAGAAGTTTCTTGATGTATGGGATGGATGTTAGTGTCACAGTCTCAAGTCCTAACAGTGGAATGGGATGCAGAAGTGCCCTTTTCTCTTAGTTCTCTATTTTCCCAGAATTTCCCATTGGGGATCTCACTAAGTTTCTCAGCTGATCAGCAGTGTGAAGCTGTTTGCTCATGAGATGAATCATTGTTAGTCATAAAAGATTCCTTACCTCAAAATGACTTCCTGTTAAGAATCGAGAGAGAAAAAGAACAGAAGAGAGAGCACATTTCAGTCTCCTAGTTTTATTCTCTTTATGAAATGCTTGTTTGATTTATTCATTTATTTAAAGTGATTGGAAATTTGGCAATAACTTCTCCCCAGCGTTGGCTTCTCTTCCATCAAAACAATTACTGTAAACTAACTGATAAAGCGTTAGTATACACGAACTAACATTTTTCAACAGCACTAGGGTTATTCTGATCTCCTATTTATAGATTGTCCATGAGTAATTGCGTTTAATCATTCTTATGGATTCAGCGAGCTGCATAACAAAACCACAGCTGTCCCAACCCTCCTCTGCTTGTGTTTGCAGGGAGCAGGGACTAACGGTGTTCGACTGACCATGGAGAGTGCCCTGACAGCCCGCGACCGCGTCGGGGTGCAGGATTTTGTCCTGCTTGAGAACTTCACCAGCGAAGCAGCATTCATTGAAAATCTCCGCAAGCGCTTCAAGGAGAATCTGATCTACGTGAGTAACAGAGGAGCAGAAGCCACAGTGTCCGTATGTGACCTGGGTTTGGGTTAATCAAATACAGAAGGCATAGCTTTGTTCATTAGTTGGAGGAATTTGGAGATGATGGTATTGGCTCTAATAGACCATGGTTGCTTGTGTCAGAAATCTTGAACAGTGTCATGTTAATGCATGTAAGGGGCCCATTTGCAGTGCTCCAGTTGAGGTCTACTGGTGTTTACAGGTCCTGCCAGCACTGAAAACCCAATGCACGCCCCATTTCATGAATTCACTCCATAGTGGGTTGTCATTAACCCCAGGCTTGAACCCAATCCCAAGCAGTATATGAAAAATAACCCAGTATTCTCACTTGTTAGAAGATCTAAAACCTCTTGTAGGTGCTGTTTGTCTGGCAAGGATGATGTGTCTAGCATAACTCCTGTAATGTCATGCTGTGTGCAGAGGTTGCTTCTTCAGCACCCTCAGTCTCTTTGGAAGCCTTTAGCAGCATCCCCAGTACTCTGCTGCAGGCAGCCCTTGTCAACAGTGTGAGCCTTCAGAGCCTCTCTACTGCTCCTTATGTAACCTCTTTATTTTGTGTTCTCTTTTCCAGACATACATTGGCTCAGTTCTGGTGTCAGTTAACCCATACAAGGAACTGGAAATCTACAGCAAACAGAACATGGAGCGATACCGTGGTGTCAGCTTCTATGAAGTTTCTCCCCACCTGTGAGTGGCCTGTGGGTAAAAGTGCAGTTTGTGTAATTCCCACGCAGGCATGTGCAATAGTGACGTGTGAAAGCAAGCAAATAGGACTTCTCCTTGTCCCAGATACAGCCCTAAAAATCATAGGCATGTGAAGGATCCTTTAAAGGGTGTGGTGTATGGCTCTTTCTATTCCTGTTTCCCTCTCCAAAGAGGATGAGTTGCCTTTGCAAGAGCAGTATTTGGAAAGGGAGGTGGTTCCTTCCTGGCTGGAGGAACAGAGCTGCTTACCCAGCCCTGGCAGGACAGGAGTTCATTGTTCCAGGGTTACTTGGGGTCTGCATGTCCGGGTTGTGAGTTTCCCCTGCTGCTATATCACTCATTTAGCATGAGGTTAATTAGGGGAAAGAGTATGTATATGTATGCGGTGGTTTCTTTCCTACCTCTGATGTTACAGCCTGACCAATATTTATCCGGTATTTCCCCTGTTGCTAAGCTACCATGTGCCTGTTGGAACAAGGAATGTATTTATTTACATGGTCTGGCCTGGTGAGCATTCCCAATTTCCCATATTAAAAAAAAAAAAAAAGAGGACTGAAAGTTATTTTTGAAAGCATTTGGATTTTTTTGTGAGACTGAAAGAGAAAGATGACTGGGAGCGGAGGACATTTGGCTCCAGAATGCTTTCTTTCAGTGCCAAGGTCCAAACTCTGAGCGCTTTTTGGAGAGAGCTTTTTTTTTTCTTTTGAGATCTTGGAAGAGTAAATGATATTATTTTTGAGCAAACTATTTGGATTGTTTCTTATTATTGGCACATAATCCAGAAGAGTAAGCAAACCAGAATGCGCTACAGGCGCGGAGAGGAAGAGACACATCATTTCTTGGGAAAGTCTGAGCATTTGAAACTGTGTTTGCTACAATAAAACTGTGATTTTTACAGTGCTTCAGACTTCTTTCGTGGGTCTACATGGAAGGCAGTTAAACTTGAATAACCAAGTTCTCCCCTTGACCTGGGGGTTAAGTGGTGTATGTTGTTTCTGTGCCCTGAGACTTAACTCTGCTCTGAGCTCTTGCAAATCGCTGTTGCCATGTGGGCTTCCTTCCATCCTGCCCTCCAGGCAGAAGCCTGGCCCAGACACAGCTCTTTGGCCTGTGATCTGGGCACTCTTCAGGGCTTTGTTGTCGTTGGACGATAATATTTTGGGTAATTGTTGAGACTGTGGCTATATTTTTGTCTGCAGTAGGCAGAGGACTGATGGCAATGGGAGTGTGTGACATGGAGGGCCAGGCAGCTCTGCATTACACACAGTGATGTAAATCACAGAGCAGCTGATAATTTCTGATGCTGTCTTCTTCCTTGATGTAGCCCTGTGAGAAGCTGTAAAATCTGCAGCTTGGAAGTAACAACCCTTGAGAGCTGTGATACCAAATACTAGCACTGCTCCAACTGGAAAAAGCAGTAATCATCATCAGCTGTTGCTATCATCCCATTAAAAGTCACTTCATCGTTGGATTATTAATTCCCTTTTAAATGTTCTGAGTGGTGAAGCACTCTGTGCATCTCCTTTTGCACTACTACCAGTGTCTTTTTCATCTATATCTTGTTCTAAACCAATTATAGAAAGCTGAAATACTACACTGTTAATATTTATATTAAATACTCTGCTGCCCTGGTGTCAAAATAGTTTGGCCTGAGCAGTGGGTTTTCTGGGAAGTGTATCACTTGCAGTCATTCAGAGGGGAAGATGTATCCCTATGGTCTTGAAGCACAGCAAACTTCCCAGAGTGCTGTGTCACATCCTGCCCTATTTATAGCCTGGAGTGGGGTTTGGAGATGGCAGCTACAAGCAGGACAGTGAGCATCTCCAAGTGAAAGGGATTCTGTAGGAGATACACATGACTGTGAGCGTTCTGCTCACCCCCCAGTGAAGACGTGCAATCTAGAGGCAGTTCTTACAAACTAAATGAAATTTGTATTTATTTAACTGACTGACTTTCAAAATAGTTCAGGGACAGAACTTGAATAGGAAGACAAGGAGTTGATGAGTTTAATAGGGGTAAGTGTGCAGTTGTGTTGCTAGGTAGCTCAGTGGTGTTGCCTTAGCACCAAGTATTAATAGACCTGAGAAGGCCACGGATGTTATTTTGGTGTGATCATTTTTAATTAATTTCACAGCATGAGAGTTTAAAAAAATAAGTCAGAACCCAATATTATTAAAAGATTAATAAGTATATGAAGACAGGGTATGTGCTTGATAGCTGCATGTAAGACAGCTGAGAATATTATTATTGAGGAGTTCTTATGTGTGTGCATTTTGAAGGGCTAATGCTCCTCTCCTCTCTTACCTTCTCTCTTTCCATCTGGTCCTTCTTTTCCTCTCTCCTTCCACCTTGCCACCACTGTTTGTCAAACTTTCTGCTCTCTGGTTTTGAGAAGGTATGAGTGATTCTTGGTGGAAGAACACGTCTGATCTACTCCAGGGAGGAAAGCAAGAGAGAAAAAGAAACAGGAAGAAGCAAGCATCCAGGGACACCAGCAATAAACCATGGTTGCATGCAGGCAGGAGGAAGAGTTGGGTATTTTGGTTAGTGTTCAGCCCTCACTGGATGCTTGTTAGTCTGTTCTGGCTTAATCCAACTGTTTCTACAGTCCAAGAAGAGCTATTGGAAGCTGAGTTGTTTGGTGTGTGGGGGTTGGGTTGTCCAGATGGCAAAGAGCAGTTGTGGCCTTCTGAGTTTGTCATCACTTAAAAGATAAGCTAGAATAAAGATCAATAGAAAACAAGAGTTTTAGTGAATGTAAAGCTTGTTTGTTCTGTGGGACGGAATTATGTTTATCTGCATCATTTAGTCTTCTTTTATGGGAACTTTTCTCACCTGAGTGAGTGTAATGGGCAGGGAGAACAAATGGTTCAACTCTTTCCTCTTTTACAGCCTTCTGTATTCACTGTCAAATGATTTTAACAGCATGAAGGCCTTTTGCAAAAGAAGTGTTTTTAAGGGAATTAATTTTGATAGATTTATGTTATGACCCTGCAAAAAGTTGGCCCAGGGATTAAGATGTGTATAGAGATGTCTGAAAGCATTCCCAGCGATCTCCTATGTCATCAGCAGTGTGTAGAAGCAATATTCTCTTACTTAAGACACCGTGGACACCTGTTTCTTTTTGAAGTATCTCTGCTAGGGGCTCACAGTGTGGGATGGTCTCTGCCCCTCCCTTGTAGAAACAAACTCACACCTGCTTCTCATTGTTCCATAGCTATGCTATTGCTGACAATTCCTATCGCTCTCTGCGCACGGAGAGGAAGGATCAGTGTATTCTGATATCTGGAGAGAGTGGGGCTGGCAAAACAGAGGCCACCAAGAAGATCCTGCAGTACTACGCCGTGACCTGTCCAGCCAGTCAGCAGGTTGAAACAGTGAAGGACCGCCTGCTGCAATCCAATCCTGTCCTGGAGGTATCTCTAGAGTCTGCAGCACTGGAACTTGACATTGAGTCAGGCCAGCAGTACTCACATTTTCCAGCTGAGGGGGTGGAGGCAGCTGGACCCTGCTTGGTGTGATTAAGCTGTCTCTGTGCAGTAGATAGCATATCCTGGGAACGCAGGTGGGCAGATCATCAGTACTGCACACAGGGGAATCCCAGCCTGCTTCCAAGCCAAAGAAATGGTCATCTGCTGCCAAGCTCTCTCGGCCCTTTCATATCCACCAAGAACAGTTCAGGCGTGGCCAGGCTGCAGGAGAAAAGCATTTGAAGTGGGAAGAGTCCTGATGTGCTGCCTAAGCTTACAAAGCCAGAGATTGACACATCTGTTGTGGGCAGCTTTGTCCGCTAATAAGAGCATTTGTGGGAGCATTTTCTAGTGCTGTGGTGTCCTCTAGTGTCCAGCCCTGCTCTGTCCTTGTACTTCCCTTCAATATTTCCATTCTATTCCAATCCATGCTGTGTGCAGGGAAGGGTGTGCTCCCATATGAGAGGGAGAACCCTGAGAGGCCTAAAGCTGTTAGGGTTGTGCCTGCTGTGAGCAGCACTATGAGATAGATACTGGACACAAGTAGCTGTGATGAGCAAGAAAACTTTGAGAAGGCTGTCAGACTTGATGTATGTCAGCAGTGAACTGGCCTTAAAATAAATTTGCTGGGGGGATGGAATTGTTTTCAAAGGTGTGCTCCATCTGCAATAATTGCAGAGGGTGTAATAATCAGCATTAGTATTTTGGTTTGTAATCTGTTTTCATCTTGCTTTTGCTTTCAAGAAGGACAAACCTAAGCGTTAATGGCTGTAAATTGCAACTGACAATTTCATGGAAGTGTTTATACATTATGTTATTTGATACTGATTAATTTTTCTCTAATCATTTCTCATTTCAGGCCTTTGGAAATGCGAAAACCCTCCGGAACGATAACTCCAGCCGATTTGGGAAATACATGGATGTGCAGTTTGATTACAGAGTAACTTAAAATCTGTTTTATACTTCAGAACTGGTTCCAGTCGTAGCAGGTCTCTGTTGCCTGTGCTTTATTGCACTGATGTGTGCATGGAGTGCACGTTTCCTTGCTGGCCACGTGAGCTGTGTCTGTAGTAGCAAAATTTGGTTCTAGAGGATGTTACAGAATGCACTTTGTTTTCTTTCCCTCCTCTCTGTAGAATGAGAGGGTGAGATTGAATCCTCTTCTTTCTAGGTTATATATGCACTGTGCAAATGGATGCTCCCAAACTAAATCCATTGTGAGCTGTCCTGTGTAACTCTGCATAATGTTTGCTTCAGTCCTGACTCAAATTGCCCCACATGGGGAAGGTGAACATGGTGCAAGAACTGAGTAGCTGGGTGTATGTTTTATTAAACTTCTCAATGTGTAATCCCTCCACACTCACAGTTTTACTGTTTTTGTGTGTGTGTGTTGAGTGAATTCCAAGAGAGAAGAATATACAGGCTAGGATATCATTCAGTATACACTGTAGCCATGATCTATATAATTTTATATTATTTTCACTTGATAGCTCTTTTTACATACACCTAAAAACTCAAATTGATGTGTATTTGTCAAGAATAGAGATTGTGATGCCAAGTTACAAATAATGTTCTGCCTTTTTGCAGTCAGTTGTTTTCTATTCTGTTCTGCCAAAGAAGCAGAATATTTTCCCTTATTGTAATAAAATATTTCAATGTGTCTGGTTTGATTTAGGGGGCTCCTGTTGGGGGCCACATCTTGAACTACCTCCTGGAAAAGTCTCGAGTTGTGCACCAAAATCATGGGGAGAGGAACTTCCACATTTTCTACCAGCTGCTAGAAGGAGGGGAAGAGGACTTGTTGCGAAGGCTGGGCCTTGAAAAGAGCCCACAGCAGTATCACTATTTAGTAAAAGTGCGTGTTAATTAATCATTCTTATAATATTGTTATATTGTAGAACAAATATATTCGCAATTGACTTTCTGTCTTCCTTATAATTCAGAAATAATACTGAAATAGCTGCTATGGAAGGAAACATATGACAGAAGTACACTGAGCATGAGTAATGCATCTTTGACAATTATATATGTATTATGTCAAACTGTGTATTTTTAGGGTCACTGTGCAAGGGTCAGTTCCATAAATGATAAAAACGATTGGAAGATTGTGCGAAGAGCCTTGTCCATCATAAGCTTCAATGACAACGAGGTAGAGGTAGGGCTTATTTATTAGCTCAGCTAATATTCCCTCTCGTAAGACTTTTTCTGCTTTATTCCTGACCAGAGCTGGTGAATGTATTTCCTGCAAAAACCCTGAAACAAAACACAGAATGTGTTTGTGTACTGCAAAAATCTCACTGCCTTTTCTGTCATTGTTCTGTGTTTGCTTATAAGTCATAATCCTGATGTCTGCCTGTTGCTTCTGTCCTAGGATTTGCTGAGCATTGTAGCTAGTGTTCTGCATCTGGGAAACGTGCAGTTTGCTGCTGATGAGCAAGGAAATGCTCAGGTCACTACAGAGAACCAGATTAAATACCTGGCACGGGTGAGTATCATCAGTAAGACATATATTACATGAAAGGTGTTTGAGATTTCCTTGCTTAGAACTTCGGACCATTGTATCATTTTAAAATATATAGAAGTTGTCAAAAATGCACTTTCATTTGGCCTAATGCAGATATTAACATCCAATCATTTTTTAACTGACAATTGCAAAAAATCTGGCAGTGTGAATAGGTAATGTAGGGTTGTTTCGCTGTCTTGTGATTTTGGGGTCTAGCCTTTCTGATCTCTTAGAACTAGGACTGATGAACTGGTTCCTAAATGCACTTAACATTCTACTGCTTTGCAGCTTCTGGCAGTTGAGGGCTCTGTTCTGCGAGATGCATTGATCCACAAGAAGATCATAGCAAAAGGGGAAGAGGTAAGAACACAAATGGGGGTCAGTGTTGCACATGCAGTTAAATCAAACCGATGCAATCTGGGATGCACAAACAGTTAAATCAACCCAATGCAATACCAGCTCTTTATTAACCGTGAGACAGGGAAGCTTAATTTCTCAGTGGAATGGCTGTTGATGACTTCTTTCTCCCTCTGTATACAGTTAATCAGCCCTCTGAACCTGGAGCAGGCAGCCTATGCAAGGGACGCGCTCGCTAAAGCAATCTACGGACGCACTTTCTCCTGGCTGGTGAACAAAGTTAACAAATCTCTTGCTTACAAGGTAAATAAATCTTTTGTTTGTTGATGAACAATCCTGCCTCGAAGGCAGTTTTAAATCTTTAAGCTTCAGCAAGTTGTTCTGTGCTGTACAGTGATTTCCAAATTAATTTGTTTCCCACAAAGGAGAGGGTAAGGAGCAAATGCTACAACTAAATGGGGGAGATATGGTGGATTGTAGCCATGACTGTGACCACATATGAACACTTTGTGCCCTATTGCAGGAAGGAGAGTTTCCAGGCTGGAGAAGCACGACAGTTCTAGGATTGCTTGATATTTATGGGTTTGAGGTTTTCCAGCATAACAGGTTTGTTTCCCTTGGTGTCTTTGAGTTCTGAGTAAGCTCTGCATGACTTCCATAGTGTTTTCTCTCCATTGTGTAACATTATTCCATCTCTGGTTTTTTTCCTAAGTGAGAAAGAGATAACATCTCAGCTTTAGGAAATCAAGTGAATGGCAGGGCTTGTAACACAACAACCTGATTGTACTGAGCATTCCCAGCAATGCTCCTGCTGTTTCAGAGACATGTCCCTTTTTGGGGCATATTCCTGTGGTTGCTTGTACCATGCCTTTGTCCAGCTCTGTGGCACAGTTGTGGCTGTTGTTCTGGTATCTTTCTGTGGTGGTTGAATGGGAAAGCAGCTGTAGAACAGTATACAGAGTAATACCAGAGCCTGGAAACTAAGTAGCAGGTAGCAATGAACTGAGACTGTATTTGTAGTTTTTGTGTTCCTTAGTCTTCCACTGCTTATGTCAGTTTTTCTCTCCTTCTTGGAACTCATTCATGAGATTCGCTAGGTAATAAATTCAATGCATGTATAGACTCACTAAATAATTCACTAAATCTCTTGTATTTTTTTTTTTATTACACATAGATGCATTAATTCTACTATGCACAAATTAAAACTTATTTTACTTGTGATACAGTTTTAATGAATATTTTTTCTGATTTTTCTTTGCAGCTTTGAGCAATTTTGTATTAATTATTGCAATGAAAAATTGCAGCAACTCTTCATAGAGCTTACATTAAAGTCAGAACAAGAGGAATATGAGTCAGAAGGCATTGCGGTAAGAGCCGAGTCACCGCTTCCACTGTCTTCTCTGTAGCGCCTCCTGCAGGCCAGAGGACAGATAATTAGAAAAGGAGCTATTATTAATGGTCTGCAAAGTAAATGATGTTTAAAAACTTTTCTCTTTTTGAACTGCATTGGGAACGGAGTGAAATTCAGCTAGGGCGAGCCGTGCCATCCCAATCTTCTGTATCTTAAAAGATGCATTTTAAGGGAATGTTAAGAAAATACATGTGATGAGTGAAAAAGCTTTATTTTTCAAATGACAAAAACATTATTTGAATAAGGTGCTGTCTAAAATGTTCTGAAACTTTCACTCTTTTTTCCTGTCAAGAGTTTTTGTCACCAAAGTGTGATTTCTTGTCTTTGCAGTGGGAACCGGTTCAGTATTTCAATAACAAAATCATTTGTGATTTGGTGGAAGAGAAATTCAAAGGCATCATTTCTATCTTGGTGAGTTGACACGACCTTTTAAGGGGAAGAACACAGGAAAGAAAAGGTCTAAAATTAGAGTAGGATTGTTTGGGCAGGTGGGGAGAGCAACGATACACCCAACAGTGACGCCATTAAAAGTCACCTCCATCTGCTCTCGGAAAGCAGCCTCCAATACAGGCAGTCTGGAAGAAGGAATTTGTTCTCCTTTTCAACTTAGCAACTCTTCATTCATTTTACTAAGTGAAATGGAGGCATGAGGTGGCATGCCTATTAAAAAGCCAAGGGTTTGAGCTGGGAATGTGTTCTGGTGTGGCAGAAGTAGAGCTGAACCGTATGCTTCCAAGCACAGAGAGAAATCAAGAGCAGAATGCATATGTTTTTGTTTTCAGGATGAAGAATGTCTGAGACCTGGAGATGCCACAGATACAACATTCTTAGAGAAGCTGGAGGAAACTGTGAAGAACCACCCTCATTTTCTCACGTGAGTTCATAGCTGAGGCAGCTTTATTGGTGGGTTCCACATGTGTGAGAGAGCCTGCAGGTTTAATGATTCCAAAGTAACTTTATACCTCATTCTGCCTATGTCAGTGGCATGCCAGATAGATCCCACAAAAAATGAGAATGTTTTTATTTGCAAAGAGGTTCGGCAGAGTTATGGTCATACAAGATAAGCAAGTATAACAGAGCTGGAAAAGATGTGTCAGACTGGCACATCCAATTTATGCACTGAATCTTATTTCTTCTGTACTTGCATATTGTCCAAGCCTGAATGAGGTGTGTAAAGGTCCTCCCTGAGTAGATTTTATGACATTTTTATGACTTGCTGGTTGGTAATTCACCTTTTTAACTTTTGGTCTTGAAGAACAGGAAGCGTAATTCCTTCTCCCCCCCTTGTTCATTTTATCCCACTCCAGGATGATAAGCCATGTGGTTCTTGAGGTGAATCCTCACATGACACTGCTCTTTGTCCCTCATGAAGCTGCTTTTTTTCTCACCAGGCACAAGCTTGCTGATCAAAAAACTCGCAAGTCGCTGGGGAGGGAAGAGTTCCGGCTTTTGCACTATGCTGGAGAGGTCACCTACAGTGTTGCAGGTAATGTGCGCCTTGTCTCAGCTGTCTCTCACTCCTTTTCCCTTCTCCATTCCCTTCCCTTTGAATTAAAACAGCTTCACTACATAGCAAAGACAAATCTGGGTATAGAGTACTCCCATATACTATTTGATTAACTGGATTAATTTCCCATCTCAAATTCCTGCATTGTTGTTATGAAATTCCTATGGAACAGCAGTGGCAGCCTGAGCCGTTTCTTTTTCTTCCAGGTTTTCTAGATAAAAACAATGACCTTCTCTTTCGGAACCTGAAGGAGGTGAGTATGGATAGGGGGTTGCCTCCAGTATTCAGCAGAACAAGGAGTCTGCTTCAAAATGGGGTGGAATCTGAGGGACAAGGTTTTTTTTAATCCCTATCTGGAGAACACATGATAGAACTGCATTATGAAAAGACAGATTAAGTTTTCCAAAGTTTGTTTTGTTAAAAACAGAACAACCCAAACCCCTTTTATCACACATTTCTGTAATAGTTGTCTGAAGTTCATTCTCTGAAAATTAGTCTCTGAATGCTGTGTCTCTCTGCAGACCATGTGCAACTCTGAGAATCCTATCATAAATCAGTGTTTTGACAGGACAGAGCTGACAGACAAGAAGAGACCTGAAACGGTAAGAACACAAAAGCTGCTGGAGATGTGGTTACTTCCTCTTTTTTAAAGACATGTCCTGTTTAACATGGTACTCCTTACCTTTAGAGCTGGAGACTGTCAGATCTGTTCTGCTAAGTCACAAGTACAAGCTGTACATCATTGCTTAATACCTGGTGTTCTTTCTTTTCTCCTAGGCAGCAACTCAGTTTAAAAACAGCCTCTCTAAACTCATGGAAATCCTGATGTCCAAAGAACCCTCCTACATCCGTTGCATTAAACCTAACGATGCTAAGCAGGCTGGTATGTCCCTGGCTAGCTCCTTCTCTGTGTGCTTTTTTACAATAGCTGCATAGACCACTAGGGCCCAGTCAGTGGGATACATAAAAGAGCTCAATTGAATAAGTTTTGTGAGATTTCTCATTATGGGGCCTGTGCCTGAGCTCCTTGCAGGAAGGTGGTGGTAGTGCCAGTCAGGAGTCAGAATTGAGGCTTGTGTAAAGTGGTGGAGTAGGGTTAAAGCCAAGCATTATAAACCTACATCATTTCCTTTTAATGATCTTTATTCTCTCGTTTCCTTCTCCTATCTGCATACAGTATCCTAAAGGACAACTTATGTTTGGAACTAGATATAAATGTATACTGAGAGGGACAGGAGTCACAAAATAACTTATGTGAGGATGGGGTAGAGATTAAAGATAAGGGTCTAAGAGAGAACTGTTCTGAACATTCTCTTCTTCACACAAAGAGACAGATATGCACTAATGCAGCTTCTCCATTTTCATGCTCTCTCAAGATCGATTTGATGAAGTTCTAATCCGACACCAAGTGAAATACCTGGGGCTGATGGAGAACCTCAGAGTGCGCAGAGCTGGCTTTGCGTATCGAAGGAAATACGAAGTTTTCCTGCAGAGGTAGGGTTACCTTGCACTTACCTCTTCCTCCCTCTCCCTGATCTTGGTCCCACAGATATTGAAATGGGAAAGTGCTCTGCACAGCAAAGAGCGGCCCTTATGCCTGAGAGAGTTATTTCCTTGAGAGAGCCAAGAGGAGATGAACTGAAGGAAGCCCCTGTTCATTATCTGGATGAATTGGACATCTCACCTTAAGATTTCTCCTGCTGTCAATTTGCAGATATAAATCACTTTGTCCAGAAACATGGCCTACGTGGGATGGACGGCCCCATGACGGAGTGGCTGTGCTGGTGAAACATCTTGGCTACAAACAGGAAGAATATAAAATGGGACGGTTAGTTCTCATTATTATTTTTTTTAATTTGAGGTTATGAATCATTGGACATCAATGTCACTGCTCTTAAATAAGGCACTTCTGTTTAATGGGTGGGGAAAAGATTAGAGATCCCAAAGGGGATGCTAAGGGCAGGAAGCAAACTTCTCTGGCTTGTTAAACATGCTGCATTTCTATTTGTAGAACAAAGATTTTTATCCGCTTTCCCAAGACTTTGTTTGCAACGGAAGATGCTCTGGAAGTGAGGAAGCAGAGCCTGGGTGAGTCACACACTGCAGCAGCTTCGTGGACTGTTTGTTTTGTGATTTATTTATTTTTTTAATTGTTTTCAAATTGCTGTTTCTCTTGCAATTTCAGCAACAAAAATGCAGGCCACGTGGAGAGGTTTCTACCGTCGGAAGAAATTCCTGCACATGAAACACTCAGGTATGAGGGAGAAAGGAAACTGCAATGCTGTGTCATTGTGGGGTTTGAAGTGGCTGTTGTTGTGAGTGAGAAGTCAGAGGTGAGTTGATTTTGATGAACCAGAAGGAACATCCCCGAAGCCTTGCTGGAAGCAGAAGGGAAGATGCAAGGTGTGCAGTTCTGGGTCCCTCCACATTATTCCTTGAGACTCTGAGTAAGAGAACGTAACTTGCTCACACAACAGCCTCTGTACAGCAGTTCCTACTACCAGTGCTTGTTATTGCCATTTATCCACCTTATTATATTGTTTAAAATTTTAATTGTATTCTTTCCCACGTACCACTGTGAAGTCTGGTGATGTTTTGCTTTGAGAGTGTGCATTTTTGAGCATCGTGTTGGCAGTTCTGTGTGAAGTCAATATTGCAGTGAAGGAGCTCTCTTAGTGTAATGTTTTTTGTGTTACTTGTAGCAATAGCCATCCAGTCCTGGTGGCGAGGAACCCTGGGCCGCCGAAAAGCTGCCAAGAGGAAGTGGGCAGTACAGACTATCAGAAGGTGTGTAAAGAGAAACCTAAGTTCCTAATTGGGTGCTTATTTCCTAATGAGAGGATGTTAAGAATGAAGTTTCTTGTCACTGCAGTGTCAGGGATGGTTGTTAGTAATTGCAGTTACTACATAAAGCTCAGAAATATGGAGTTGGGGCACAACAGTAGGTTATTTTGTGACAAGTATTTTGAGTATTTCATCTTTTGTAAATTTTATATACCTTGGCTATAGCTGAAAGTTCACTTGGGACCCGGAGATGGTTGAATTGGAAAAGACCTGTAAGTACCTCTCATACCAACTCCTCCTGTTTCCATCTTTCCTCTTCCTCAGGTTCATTAAGGGCTTTATTTACCGGAACCACCCTCGCTGCCCAGAGAACGAGTATTTCCTTGATTACATCCGCTTCTCCTTCCTGATGAACCTCAAACGTAACCTGCCAAAGAACGTCTTGGACAAATCATGGCCAACCCCTCCTCCATCACTCTGTGAGGTGAGTCCAGCTGCACAACCTATGATATAATGAAGGCCTAAGGGAGACCACCTCACTCAGGTTTCATGTTAGATTAGCACCTCTGCTACTAGAACTAAAACACCATCATGTATGTGTCGCTAGCATACCTACAAAGGTATTGGAGATACAGTACTTAACTGCATTTGGCAGAGAAACAAAATAATGCAGAAAGTCCCAGTTAGCTTATCCAAGGGCCCCTGTTTGTTTGGACTGCACATACAGCAGGGAGCAAGGAAGGGCATAACCATGTAAAGTATGCACCTTAGCTGGAGAACGGTGCGGGGCAAACCATCTCAGAGGGAAAACAGACTTCCTATTACTTAATTCTGAAAGTATATTAATTCAGCCATGTATTTTCTGTAGTTGTTTCCCTTGTCTTCGCTGTTTGAATTGATTTGTCAGGTTTCTCATGTATTTTGTGAAATCTCCTTCAGGCATCCCAGCTCCTGCGCCAGTTGTGCATGCAGAACATGGTCTGGACATACTGCAAGAGAATCAGCCCAGAGTGGAAGCAACAGGTATGTGACAATTTGCATTTCTTCACAGACTAACACGATGTTTTGGAGATACAATTTCTATTCCAAAAGGCTCTGTAATGTACAATACAAAAACAGGGTCTTTCTGCTGACACTGCTGAAAGTAGAATGAGAATTTTGCAGACTCAAAATGAGTCATTGGACAAACAGAAGTTATGGAACAGTTTTCTGTACCATTGTGTTTCAGCCTTGTTCTAGATTTAAAAATAAAAATAATACTGAAATTTATTTATCTTGATTGTGGTGGAGCAATTATTTTTCATATTGAAAAAGCTCAGTGAAAGGTGATAATAGGAACTGTTCACATTAAGCAGCATAGCTGTTACTGTTAGAAATGGCAGTAATTAGTTCCCTTAAGGCTTTTTTTTAAATTGGATAGCATACCATACTGCTTATGGAGGCCTGTGAAGTATTAAAAGCGTGTAACAAAACACTGAGTCAGTGGCTGAGCCTGTGATTAAGGACACAGGATTAATAAAAGCCTTTACACAGGTGGAAATGCAGCAGAATATACTCTTTCCCAAGCACCCAAGACTTACAGACATTCCTTAACCACATTTTTATCTGTAGATCAGCTCCTGTACTTCATACTCTCTAACAGCATCCATAATATTAAATTAACCCTATATAAAGTAAAGGCATTTCCTGTTTCCTCATTCCCTGGTTTTGTTCTTATTCTGAATGGGCAGAAGTCAGACCTCAGCATTGGTCATACTGACATCCTGGTACTCTGAAAAGGACCAAAGGTTTATGGTGAATCACCTTCTAAACAGGAACTCCCAGCGCAATACAGCAGCTAACAGTTTTACTGTTTGTTAAAGGATAAGGGAGAGAACATTGAGGAGATGAGGGAGTAGGAACAGACGTTTTACACTGCACTAGTAAGGACGTAACTTCTGTCTCTTTGCAGACAAACATATTTTATTTGAACAGAGATTTTATATTAAACAAGAATCCATCTTTTGTCCTTGCAGTTGGAACAAAAAGTAATTGCCAGTGAGATTTTTAAGGGTAAAAAAGACAATTACCCTCAGAGCGTTCCTAGACTCTTCATCAACACACGACTTGGTGAGTAGGGGGTGCAAAGCTGGGAAGAAGGGGAGATTTTTTACTCTTCTCTTGCTAGAAACTTCTGATCCCTTTTTTTTTTCTTCATTTTAGGTAATGAAGAGATAAATGCTAAAGTCCTTCAGGCTTTAGAAAATGAAGCAATTAAGGTGAGATACACATCCTAATAGTTTTATCAAATTTTAGAATTACTCAGCAGAATTCAAGTCTTTGAAGGTTAGATTTCTGAATATAGCAGGAAGTAGAGGCAAGTTATGTCAGATAGAACTGGAAGGGTTACAGGGCAGCACTGCTCTTCATGGTGCTTTGAGATGCTTAAGGGGGAGAGGAAGAGAATGATGCAGAAATCTACACAGCATGAAGCAAAGTCTGGACTTTTCAAGCTCTCTAGGCTAGATGGGAGGCAGCTGCCAATTAGACAAAATGCTTTTTAGCACTGATAACACTTATTTCAGTATGCAGTTCCTGTCATCAAGTATGACCGGAAAGGATACAAAGCAAGATCACGGCAGCTGCTTCTCACCCAGAATGCAGTCATTATTGTTGAAGACTCCAAAATCAAACAACGGATTGACTATGCCAATCTGACAGGTGAGTGTTAACATACTTGGGGTTTAGCTCACTTCATTTTAACCAGTGTGATAAAAAAAAATAACCAGTTGGTCTTTGTCCTGACAAGAATGAAATTATTACAGAAAGTATTTGTCAGTTTAAGATATCTTGAACTTGGCTATTTCTAAAATTAAATTCCATAAAATGTCAGAAGTTACTCAATTCATCTCTCCAGAAACCTCTCCAAAGCCGTTTCCCAACTGCAGGAAGTTGCACCATTATTGCACAGCAGCTGCAGGGATGCTGGCTGTCAGCCCCCCACTATCTAACAAGGATTTGATCCTTTTAGAGAGTGAACTTTGTCAAAGAAAGCTGTTCTGTGTGTCTGATACACAGCAGCCATTTCACATCTGTCCTATCTGAACCCTCTCAGCTCCAGCTGCCAGCATTGCCAGCATTCCTCCTTGCAGCCAATTCCTGACCATCATTTCAGTGTTACCCTAATGCAGTTATCTACTGCACTTGTAACTGTCACCATTTAAAAATGGTTTCTACAGCCACCACTAATGTGGGGTTCCAGGACTCCCTTGAACATACAGAATGTGCAGTACTGTCTTATTTCTGCTAGGTTACCTCAACTTGCACAGCTAATCCAGACATCTCTACTGTCGAGGTTTTAAACCAAGTCCAGACAACAGGCACTGAGAACACACCTTCCTACTTCTGAGGCACAGAGGCGTGTGAAAGTTGCTTTTTCATATGAAAGAACACAGCTATAAGCCGATTCTGTCACCTTGCAGCCTCTTCAGCCTCTCTGCTGCCATGTTAGCACAGTGGAGCTTCTCAGCTGCTGGGTTTCTCAGTGTGGGAACAGCAGTTGCTGCACTCCTGGGAGAGGTTTTGCAATGCACACAAGAGCTGGCAACGTCAGGTTGGGTGTCAGTTGGTCACTGTGCTCTTTATTGCAGGCATCTCTGTCAGCAGCCTGAGCGATAACTTGTTTGTGCTGCACGTGCACTGTGAGGACAACAAACAGAAGGTAGTTGGATTCATCCAGCATTTCTCCAACCATCTCTAGGAACTGTTTTAGAGGCACAAAGAGCAGAAGATCCAGGGTGGAGGTGGGTGGGGGAGAAGCACCTGTACACACCCCCACATGTGAACAGCCCCACTATGAACTCGCTTTGTGCCATCTTTAAGTAGAATTTTTGTGCTCATAAATGGGATTCACCAGTAATTGACAGGAATGGTCCTGGCTCCCTATCTCCATTACTGTTACCTTGCAAATGAAGTAACTGCTGTCAGTGCAGTGTGACCTGAGAGATGCTTTCCATACTATCCTGGCAGGAGATAGCTCTGTGAACTTCAAAATAATTATCTTGGTGCAGTCACTGAGAAGCCACAATGACAGGCCATCGTTGGTTTTCCATCCTAGGGAGATGTTGTACTTCAAAGTGACCACGTGATAGAGACGCTGACAAAGACAGCCATGCGGGCAGACAAAGTTAATAACATCAACATCAACCAGGGCAGGTGAGTGAAGCTGTGCAAGCCCAGCCCTGCTCAGGAGCTGCTTCATTCTTGTGTTGGTTCTGCTTCAGCATTACAGGGCTACAGGTATACGTATGTTATCAGAACGTTAATTAAGATTAACTAAGTCTCCATTTCCTTGAGCTAGTACACCTATTGCAATTACGCACCAATACATTGAAGCCACTTGCACAGAAGGGAAGTCACACATTCTAATTATGTTTCTTACCTGTTTGCCTCTGCAGCATAAAATTTACAGTTGGCCAAGGCAAAGAAGGCGTCATCGATTTTATATCAGGATCAGAACTGCTTATAGCCAAAGCCAAGAATGGCCATCTAACTGTGGTGAGTACAGGCCAAGATTGGTAAGAAATGTTACTTAAAGTGCATCAGAACCCAGACCTCGTCACTAAGCCACATGCACTACAGACACACACATGCCACAACTTCCTTGCTGAACATGCTGCTCTGGTCCAGGAACCTTCTTCCCAGTTGGATTTCTGCACTGCACTTCTCCTCCTGCAGTCCTAGGAGGCTGCCAGGCTTGCTTAAACTCATCAAGTAATTGTTGTATCAATCACTCGGAATCTTTCACATGATTCTGTCCTTAGTGCAAGACAAGTTTTAGAGGTCTTAAAAACACAAGAACAATTCCTCTTCCCTTTTGGAATTGTTTGTAGTCTTTTTGATAATCTGATACACACATGGAGCTGATTTATGCTTGGTCAGATTGAGGCTTGCTCAGAAATGAATCCAGAACCTCTTATTACAGCACCAGTGCTGAAAGATAAACTCCCCTGCCCTACTGCAGGATGACTGCTATCAGAAATGGATTCAGCATTTCCACTTTGCTCAAACAAACCTGCCCTGTAAAACTCACACAGTCCTGTCAGAGGCTTTCCCTGCTCCATGGAACAACTACCAGCTCTACACAGGAAGATTAAATTTGCTTAAGCACTGAAGCGAGGACCACACCTCTCTCTCCATTTGCTATCTGTGTCAGCAAACCAACTTCCCATACTAAGAAGAAATGCATCCTTTTTCCACCAGCCCTTTCAAACCATCCCTAAGAACATTCTTCCAGTTTTGCCCTCCCTCCCACTTCCCACAGATCAGTCCTTCTGCAGTGCTGAGCCTAGGAAGGTTTTCAGGATAACCATGGGATCACTTCTCAGTGAATAGCCAGTACCTGCTTGTTTCCTGCTGAGAGCAGCCAGCTTCAGTATTCCCACAGAGCTTTTTGTACCCATAACATCACCCATGGCTCATTCTACAGGCCAGTCTTTGGTGAGCTTTAAGGATTTCAGGAGCTAAAGCTGTTGCAGTATCTGTTTCTAGCTTATCTGTCTTCTCCTGCAGGTTGCACCTCGTTTGAACTCTCGATGATAGATGTGCCACCATCACAGAACCCCTTCTTCCATCATTCTGACTACACCCCATCCATTGGCTGGACATTGTTCCCAGCAAACCCCTGCCGCCTCCCTTGCTTTGCTCATTTTGTTTGTTACCAAAGACCTGCACTTTCAGAAAACCCACAAAACGCATCTTGCTTTCTTGTCTTAATACAAAAGTTCCAAAAGAAAGGCCTTCTCTTCCTTACCTTAGTGGCAAACAACACGGGTCCAACATGACGTCCATGAAACCGTGGCTCACGAAACCTGCTTGGCTGGGCTTTGAGAGGTAGTTCTGACTCTATTTGAGTTTAAGCCTTGATGGAAACGACCAAAATTTGTGCTTGAAATCATGGAAAAGCACAATCAGAAGAAGCACTGCTCCATCAGCAGAGTCAATGAAATGCCAAACTTTATATTCAAAGTGTTTTATGAACGATTTTAAGATGTTTTGATGCTTTACATTACAATATTAAAGCCATATTGTGTAAATGAGTAAAACCCTGTAAATACTTTATAGCTGAATATGAGAGATGTACTACAAGAAATGGCACTGATGTGGAAACTTATGTTTTAGATTTGGAATTTTTGTTGTTTTTAAGTTTATGAACAGACTGTATTAACCTGAGAAACCCATCATGTAACTTCACTCATCTGGATACAGGATACAGCAGCTTTTTTTTTCTTTTTGCAGTCACCTCTCCCATTTCTTGCTGTATAATGATATTTTTATACTGTAGTACCATAACCACAACCATGCATCCAAACAAAATCTAAAAGTACCACAACCTGCAGAGGTCATCACTTCTTCCTGCACCTCTAAGCTGTAAATGCAACCTGTAATCGCAGCCACAGGCTGTGCACGTGAGCTGTGTTCCTGCCCTTCTCCACACAGCCCATCTGGCTCTGAGCAGCACCTGCACAAAAACTACTTTTCCCCATCTAAACTTTTCAGGAATAACTGGAAGTTTGAATTCTCACAGTAGAGCTGCAGAGTCTACCAACAACTCTCCCAACTGCCTTAATAGGGAAGAGATGGCTCCTTCAGTGCCACAGCCACTCTGAGCAGCCAGCCATCTTCCAACAAGAGCTGTCAGCACTATTCTGACCCCCAGCTTCCAGGGCCACAAAAATGCCCTCAGTTCTCGACCTGCATCACAGAAGTTAACACTGAGCACCTTCATTTAACAACAAACCCATGGTGGGCAGCTATGTGTCAAAGTTCCAGCTGACAGCACATGACAGCTCCAGCTTCTATTCCCATTTCCAGACCTCCAGCAGTGCATTTTGCACTCAACCTGCCTTAGAGATCTTTCATGTGCCACCCCTCCTGCTGCTGTAGCTCCAGCAGTCACACTAAGCCCTGAATAACACATAACCGAATGCTGCCACTGACAGAACCATCAGCTCCATCTCATTTTGTGTTTCTGACATTATACAGTTACTGAACACTGCCCCAGGCCTGGAATGCTGTATACACTGTACTACATATACACCATATTACTGTATATGCCATATAGTGTATATACTATACAATGCTGTATACGCTATTATATAATCTCTTCAAGACTACACTAAATAAATTTTTATGAAGGAAACTTGTCTTTACCATAGAAACTGTTTCAGCATGTTTAATTTCAGGAGGGAGAGAGCAGTGATTTCCCTCTGTTTCACACACAACCCTTGGACATCACAGGCCACTGAACCTCCAAGTTCCTGGGTCCAGCAGTATCCCTGCTGCCTTCTGCCACGCACAGCAAAGCACCCCTACAAAGATTCCCAGGGCTTCAGCTACTTAGATCAGGCTCTACATTGATGTGTTTCCCTTCTCCCACTCAACTGCACTGGAAGAGTCGTCCTCTAGAGGCAAGCAAAAGAAACATGAATAGTGCTTTGTGCAGAGTTCAAAGGAAACCTGACTAAGGGGTGTGGAACAGCTCCGACTCCTCCTGATGCAGTGCAGGCTGTCAAGGAAGCTGGGCTCAAATGTAAGCCTCAACTTACTTATCTCACAGAAGGAAAGCAGTGCTGTTATTCCTCTCTCCTTCTCTCTTCCCCCCTCTCCAAACGTTCCTATTCAAAGCAACGGAGGAAAATTATTCTTGTTGAAGTAATATAAAGGAAAGTCATAGTAATATTTGGCATTTTTAATTTAGGTTTGTTTTATTTAAGTTTAATGTTAATTCCATGCTGTGTTTCAGTAAGAACAATACAGATTCTGTATCTGTGGCTCCAGTCAGATATCCAGTAGTACAAATTAGCTTCAAGTTACACATACTGAACAAAAGAGGTTGAGCGAGCGAAGGGAGATGGGGAGGGGGGAGGGAGAAAAGAAAAAATATTGAACACACATGCAGGCTTATCAATGCCACCTTCAATGCTAACCTGCTTTGAGGAAAAGTAAAGAGTAGGCAAGAATGAGCAGCCACGGATTGTTGAACTGTTACCAGCACCATATTTTTCAGCAACATTTCAGCAGTTTGGAAGGATTTTTTTTTCCTTATTTTTTTATTACAGTAACCCCACTACAATATACATCCCAATGCAACCTGTAACTTCAAGCTAAACATCCAATTAAGTTTAAACATTGGTATAAAATTCAGTTTAAACAATTATAAAAAAAGAAAAAATGCCACCACATGCATGCTACCTCGTGATAAGGAATCTCTCCCCTACAAGTCTAACAGCCTCCAGGTGTCACATCCACTTCTAATGGCCATCACCACGGCTGGCAGGAGACAACACAGTAATGCTGAAAAGCCTTTATGCAGTCCTGTTAGTGTCTTAAAGAACCTAAAAGCTGGCACCAGTAAAATCCACAGAAATTCACTCTTGCCTTTAAGAACTTTTAAACTGTGTAAAAAAAAATAAAAATAAAGAAACCCAACAGGGCAGGAACCTAAATTCTGAGACCCAATGTAAAAGTCAGATTTGGTGGTTCTCAGAGTGACACTGAGGGTTTTTGTGGGGAGGGGGAAGGGTGGTCAGAGATGGGTTCTCTTGTTGGCCTTTGTGTCTCACTGGTTTTCATCTTCCACATCCTGCAGCGCTTCTTTATTCTGTTCTTCACCTATGGAAGCATTTAGAAGTAAGGAAGAAGTTAGCTTCTAAAAATGAGACCTGAAGAAAGCCTTAACAAGCATCTAAGATTAATACTTTCATGCAATTCCACACTCACTCACACTTGCATAAATGACACACGCTCATAACAGCCAGTTCTGGAGCAAAGCGCTTCCATGGACGTTAAGCCTTGGAACCAACTGGTCACACTTCATACCATAACTGCAGCACACGCCATGACAACACTCTGTTGTAAGGACAGACAATGAACAACCACCCTGAAAGCTGAGGCTGCGTGTGATCAGCCCTGTTTGTTGATCGGGAGATAAACAGCCAGGATGAAAACCATCAGAATAGCTGTAGGTCCACATCCTTTAATCACAGAATGAATACCTTCCTATGGAACCTCATTTCTGCTCTGGAGATCACTAAGGACATCTCACCAACCAGCTACCACAAACTGTGCACCGAAAACAATGAAGAATGCCAGTATTTTTTCCTGTCCAAGTCCACTCAACATCAACAACTGCAACTGATTGCAGTCCAGTTTACAGAATTGCACCAGTGGCATGCGAACGCCCTTCCCTGCTGTGAAATCCAATGACAAGAAATCCTAGGCTTGAGGTGATTAAGAATGCTTTGTGGAAACTCATGTCTTATGGAAAAGCAGCTGGTTTGGACCTATTCAACCAGGCTGCAACATGCAGTGCAATGGAAGCCTATCCGTAAGGACTCAGGCAGGAGGTGCATGCAATGCCTCCTGCACAGCTCTGCTACAACAGGGAGAGGTTACCATACTGCAGCTAGGGCCACACTGCATGCAACATTAAGCTAACTGACAGGAAACTGAACAAATGCTTTCTTCACCATTATCCTCAGCCAGGTGACATGGCACTGTCTTAAAGGCACATAAACAAGAACTGTCCAAAACATAATTTGCAGTAAAATCCACTCAGATGAGACTAATGACTTTTAGTACATCATCAGAATGCCTGCTCAGAGCATGTCCAGATTCAGAATTACCACCAGGCACAATGCAAGGCAGACTTTGGAAGAGGTGGCCTCCTGCTCTGGCAGGGAGGTTGGACTAAGATGATCTTTTGAGGTCCCTTCCAATCCCTGACACTCTGTGAACACAGGCTGCATGGTGTTCAACAACAAAATTTACATTTAGAACTACAAAAACAGATTGTTTAAATGAAGAATGCCAAGGCCCTAACCAAAGATGATGATTAGAAGATCTGAGCATGCTCTAGCCAATGCACTTAAGCAAATAGTCCTGTAACAGGCAATAGTGGAAGTACTTTTCATGCCTACATATTCTTAATATTCCATCCAGGTATGCAGCTCAATCCCCAAACACTGGGGTTACTTTGGAACTTAGTTACATGTATCAGACCTGAGCAACAGGTCAGAGATCAGAACATTGCTTAGCCCTGGAATGGAGCCCAAGATACAAGCAGTTGTCAGCAGCAAAACAGTGACAGAGGCAAGCATGATTAGTGATCAGAGGAAAACTGAGGCTGCAAAGCTCATTGAGCCATGACAAGGACTTACAAAGTAGACTTTTTAGGAAAAGAACAGTTGGACTTTCCTTTAGGAATCTATACAGCAGGAAAGAAGGGGAGAATAGGAATCATATGAAGACGACATCACAAGCGTGGAAGTAAACTGAACAGCTTGTCTATGGCATGGTTAAGACATGGTACATGAGATGAAAAGGTGCAGCAGCTGAGTAATGCTCCATTTCAGAATATCACTGCAATCCACACAACTGAATCCAAGGCTGGGCAAAATGATCAAAAGGCTTTTTTTTTTTTTTAAAGTCACCACCACCCCTCAGGAAAGCAGTAACAGTGAGCACCTTTCAGAATGCCACAATTAAGGTCTGCCTATACTTAAAGGCTCTAAGCCATTCTGGGACACTGAGTTCTGGAAGTAACTGCTTCAAATGCACTCAGTGCATCTACTGCATGCTGTAAGGAAAACACAGCTTTGCACCTACACATGTACACATCACTCAAACACTGCATTCTTTGGGAACTTGAGCTGCAGAACAGTTTTAAGCAGTTCTGCAGTATTTGCAGTTTTGTAATCAGTCCTGGAATGCATCACGAACAGTAAGAACAGGATTCTGAACAGTTTCAGGAACAACAAAAACATTGGTTTTCTATGCTACAGAGCTAATGATGATGAGAAATTTGAATGTGAATTATGCAAAAAAGGTATTTAAAGAGCCTCTGCAAACAGTCTTGTTACATTTTTGTGGTATGAAATGAAATGTCACACAGCTCACATGCAAACAAAGGTTACTTCTGGAAGATGTAACAATGCTACTACCTCACATCAGCCATCCAGCCTTGTGAGCTGTGCTGAAATCTCTTTCCCAGTGCCTCAGCACAGCAAGGAAGGCACCTAACAGCACTGCAGTGTAGAGCAGTGTCTATACTGATCCACTTACAGTGCATATAAGCCCAAAGAAATCCGGGTAACATTTTAACTGTAGCATCCACATGGTAACATGCAGGAAGTTTGCAATGCTACAGCTGTTTTCAGAGGGATACAGTACTGGAAGAGAAGCGCTCTGACTACCACCATGGTACAAGTAATGTCTTAAATAAGCATCCTACAGTTTTTATTAAGTATCTGAAGTCAAGCTGTGCTGTTGTTTCAGACCTCTGAGTATCTAAGTGTGTAATATACTTCAAGAAGGACTCACATGCTTCTCTTAAGGTAAAAGAAAAAACAGCTTTTTTTGAAAACTTCTTTCCAGAACTTTTTTTTTTAAACAACAACAAAAAAAAAAGCATGAGTTCTCTCTCTTGATAAAAGTCATGTTTAAACTGCCAGTAAGTGGGACTAGGCAAACAAAACAATTTGCACCTGGTACTGTATGCCAAAGTCTAAGAGAAAACAGCTTCCTTAGAACACCAAGTAACTTCAGATGTCAGTGAGCAGTGCTCCCTGCCCCATGCTGGGGACACACTCGGTCTCTGCTCTGGCAACGCCCTCTGTGGAAGCACAAGCCTAACATCTGCTGGGAGTACTTCAAGAAAGAAAAGCTTTTCGAACATCCAAATATCAGAAGTGCCCTGAGAGAAGGGAACCAGACCACTCAAAATACTTCCTCCTGCACTGGAAATTCACATCTGGTTGAAAGGGGAACTGGGAGACCAACACGACAAGCCACTAACGAAACAGACTAATTAAGCCACTGCTTTTAAAATAATCACTGATGTTTACAATGTTACTAATCTCACACCTGTAAGTGTGAAGCTGAAAAAGTTTCCTTATTGGTGTTTTTACTGCTGCCATTCATGATCTACATATTTTCTAAATGTTCTGTGGGCAGGAATGCGGAGACGCAGCAGTTCAGAGCTGAGCTCACTTACCATCACCCTGCATGTCTGAAGTCCATAGTGTCAGGTTATCACGTAACAACTGCATGATAAGTGTAGAGTCCTTATAGCTTTCTTCACTCAGCGTATCCAGTTCTGCAATAGCATCATCAAAAGCTGCTTTCGCCAACCTGTAAGCACAGAATAAATCCAATTTAACACCAACTAAGAAAGGGAATTTAGAAGCCTACACAGCAAGCCTATTACTCAGAGTACCCATCTTTTAGTTGGCTATAGGACAGCCACAGCCTCTATGAATTTTCTTCTTCAAAACTGACCACTTTGTGTGCCTAACAACAGTACTGACTCAATTTATGTTTCCTTAAACATTACTACACCCTGCAGCGCTGCTGTTTGCTAAAAGCTTTAAAAAAGTATTTACCTAACCTGCAATGACAGGTCTGAAATACACCATTTGCTTTGTTCCTCATTTTTATGCCCGCACAAACTAAATCCCTAAAGATGGATGAGATCATAATTCTGTAGATGTCACTCATTTCTGTGACCATGACCTCTCGTACGTTGTGTAAGACTTGTTTAGGAGTCAACAGCAAGAGAGTCAAGTTCAGTTACACTTCTTGCAGGATAAGGACGTGCACAAAGTTAACGTGCAAGCTGTCAAGCTGCCACTGGTTCACTGATTCAGAAGTTAATGCTACTCTGCTTCTCCAGTAATCTACTCTCAGATAAACAAATGCCTATGGGCTGAAAAGGAAAAGTTGAAAGCTTTTCCCATGTCTTAACCTCAAACAAAGCAAGAAAAAAGCCAGCCCAGTGTTTCTGAGTTAGAAGACATTACACCCAACTGGGAATCACATTCAGCTTGTTAAGCATTCACAGAAAATCCCCCCATCTTCTCAGTCACCTGCAGGCACGATCAGGAGAATTAAGAATTTCATAGTAGAATACAGAGAAGTTGAGGGCGAGTCCTAGACGGATAGGATGTGTTGGTGGGAGTTCTGTCATTGCAATATCACTAGCAGCCTTGTAAGCCACCAAGCTGTTCTCTGCAGCCTCCTTCCTGTCATTTCCTGTGGCAAACTCAGCCAGATACCTATGGTAGTCCCCCTTCCTGAAAGCAAGAACAGAACAAACAAGAACTCATTAGTCCTTACTTCCACACCAGTCACAAAAACTGCTTAGTTCCAAAATCTGTTTTATACATTTACACATTAAAGGGTGTTACTGCTGAATTGCTGTCCAGACAACAGTGCCTCAGTGAGTTTCAAACCACAGAGGTTTGAGCAGGAAAAAGTCTGCATTTAATTTCTGTTGCACTGGTACAGAAATCATAGTGCTGTTCTCCCCATTACCCACCTGTGCAGCTGTACACGAGTACCTCATCTAATATTGTGGTTTTTCTAAATCTGCAACAATAGGGATACTTCAAATAGAGGGGATAATTAAAGATAAAGATCGCTTCAAGACTGTATGATCACAGCTCATACAAGAAAGCACTAAAGCAGAGATGAGATCCTGTATTATCTCAAAGAAAAATTAAAACATTTAAAATCTGCACAACAGCTCCTGAGAAGCTCTGACCATCTCATTCTGAACTGGCCTAAAGCTCCTGCCTGCCACTAACGCCCCAAATGCAGACAAAAAGGGATATTCATTATACACAATTGAACTGCTCTCTTCTAGGAAGAAATTACCATCCTTGACTGTGCAGAAAAACAACCATTTGTAGCTACTGTATTCTTGTTATCTATTCCAGCTACAACATGCAGTCCTCGCCTCACATGGCAACACTTACATTTTGTAATAGAAAACCTTGGACTCGCCAGTGTTAGCTGCTGGAATGAGGTGTTTGTCCAGTACATCCAGAATGTCACAACAGATTAACTTCAGTTCAGTCTCAACCTAAAAAGAAAAATAACCACAATGAGACAAGGTCAGCACTGAGACTAAAAGGCTGTCCCAAAAATATCAAACAGGTGACAAAAATCCAAGGAGGGGGAAAACAAGAAAAAACAGAATAAAAGATTCAGCTGTCCACAGGTACATTAAACAAAAACAGCACGGGGCAATTAGCTGGGACATAGAGAGGCAAGGACTGATGGATGATGAAATGCATAACTGAATAATGGAATTACACATTCCCTGGAAAACATCTTGCTAGACAGTTGCATTACGTCTGTCTCAGCATATAATTCCTTACTGCAAGACTTGCACGACTAATGCCTCACATTTTTGAGCCTGGAAGGCTGCCCTAAAGTGGTAATGGTGAAGGGGAACAATATGAATGCAGTTCAGAGAGATCAGCTCAACTCCATCCCATCCTCGGGGTTAAGCTACACATTCACAACAAGTGTTCACTGCCCACCTGGGACACACAGTCTAACAGAGAGCCCTACAACAGAAATCCTGTAATAACAATCAAAAATGTCACAGATAAAAAGAAACAAATCCAGAAAAAATACAAACTTCAGAAACAGGCGACAAAACAAGCAAAGCATAGCAGAAACCATAAACACTAACAGCAAGGTCAGCAACAAAGGAAAACCAATATATAAAGTCTTATATGAGGACTTTAACAGCCACAGATGGAAATGGCCACATCACTTTTTCTTCCTTATTTAAAATATAAAGGGTTTTATAAGATTGGTTTCTACCATAGGAAGTGTCACACCTGAAAGCAAAGAAATGAAGCACCTTCAAGAAAAACAACCTAAAAACTGTCTTTGCACATCAGCACTGCCCACAGCAGATTTGTTCCCAGCATTCCTCATTACTCGCAGTAGGAGGGGTTGGCAAAGTGCACAGCAACCCACTGCTGCTCTCTCACAATTCAGCATTAACTTGCATAGTAACAGCTAGAGACAACTTTGGCTCAAACCACTGTTAGGCTCCATAAAGCAGAGGTTTTCAAGGGAAGGCATGAACTTCAACTTCAATGAACTGCCCCAGGAGCTGCACATCTCACACCACAGGGCAGCCCCTCAGCCCACTGCCCTTCTCACCCCCTCACCCATGCAGTTTTCTTTCACACAGCGATGCTCTTTCCAGGCAACATCACTACAGAGCTCCCAAACCATCATCGTCTGTACCCACATTTAACCTCAAGAGATGTTATGCTGCAGATCTAAAAGAAGTTAAACTGGCACAATTTGTACCAAGTTACAGACATAGAAAAGCTCCTTTAGGTAAATTCATCTACAGCAGATGTCACGTGTAAACAGTGTCGGGATGCCCTAACGTTCAAGTGGGGAGTTAAATGCTGTACTTAGTTATGTGACAAATGCTTAAGGAAGTTGCTGAAATACAGTCACTTGAAGTATCTACTTCATATATTCTTGTGCTACGAAAGCTATAAAACCTTTGCCAGCAGTCAGTTCCTGCAAACTTCTTTCCTCTTGATCCTCTTTCTCAATGACTTCTTTTGCAGAGAGATCTTCAGCAAAACTGCAAAGAATTAAATCAGTTTCTAATCTTCTTTTGTTAAACCACACATGTACAAAGTTCCATTTCATCTCAGACCTTTTTCAGCTGTGTTTCAAGAATCATTCACACGAGTTACCAGAGATCAGCTGCTGACCAGGGCAATGTATTTACCCTGATCAGGCTTTAAACTTAAAAGATTTCATACAAACTGAGTTAAGAGCAAAAAAGAACCCACCCCTCCCCCTCCCCTCCCGTTCCTCTCCCCCAAATCCTAAGAGATCTTTTACAAAAAAGATCTTCTTCCAGACTGGATCACTGAGCTCTGCAAAGCCAGCACAGGAGCCCACACTAAGCCTGTTCAGAGCACTTGGAACAGGCAGTTTTACAGCTCAAAATACAACACACAGAACTACAGGCTCTGACTGGCAAGGAGAGATGGCTCATCTCAGTAGGTGTGCAGTGGTCCCTACTGTGCCTCCCTGCTTTAGTAGCAGTGCTGGTTTAAGCAGATTTCAGATTGTGTTCTCAGCTCTGCAGGTACAGAGCCCCGTGAACCACCTGGTGACTCCAACAAAGAAACTTACTGGAAACCACCAGGAGGTCGAGGCCTGTTCTAATTCCTTGCCCTAGTTCAGTATTTAGCCCACAGAAGAGCTGTGCCTCATAAATGGGATGCAACATGAAACCAGTGCAATAGGCAGCAGTTGCTGAAATCTGTGAGCTACCTTCCTTGTGCCCCTGAAAAATAAAGAGCACATCAACACACAGCCTAATGCATAGGCTATGTATGAAGAGGTGAAGGCAGCCCTGCAGCTTCCCCAAAACACAGCCCAGCTTGTTAAGCACAAGCACTAGAAACACACGTAAATACAGACCTTAAAGGGAAGGTGAACACTTGTCCTATGCTATTAGTGAAGGGATTTGGTCTTAGAGCAAGGATATGAGCTGCATCGTCTGCAAACATATGCTGCTTCATCCGCTCAAGGACAAGCTAAGAAAGCCTGTGTTCTCATCCACAGAGATGCAATGGAGCCAGGAGCTCCAGTTCTGCACATCCATGTGGCCACATGCCCAAAAAAAAAAAAAGCAGGAATCACAGAGACAACATTTTTTCCACATGGCTACGATGTGTTCTGCTACATCTGTCTTAATATCTCACACCATCACTCCCTGAGATCTTTCCCAAGTCATACTGGCTAGTAACTTAAAGTCTATGGAGTTTGAACACAACCAAAAAGTGTTAAATTATAACAAATACCAATACAGACAAGAAACACCCATTATTTGCACACAAACTACATCTTTTATTTCAACTCGGCAGCAATTTCTAGCTGTGCCAGCCCACTGCTGGTTCTGGTGGTAGGGGAGAATTTCTCCACTGACAGTGCTCCTCTCCACTGCCCAGTACTTTCAGTTTGGCCTGTTGGTCCCCAGAAAAGCACTTCTTTTTTCCCTTCTCCTTCCTCAAAGTCTTGCAAGCACGGGAAGGATCTCTTAACAACATTCAATTTAAAATGAGAAATTAAGTAACAGTATGTATTTGTTGACATGATGGGTAGTAAGCAGAATAACCCCAACTCTCCAGACCTTATCTGCACCCCCAAGCAACTGAGTATGACCAGTTCTGCAGCTCTCATGTCAGCAACAAAAGAGAGAAGCTGTACCCAAACCTCTGCATACGTTCCTTAGGCCCTTACTGCTCAAATTCTGTCTTGACAAACCAATTAATGCTCTCCACATATCAGATAAGTCTTCCAGTAACTACAAACAAGACATGGTCTTCAGCTACAGCCAACAGCACGAACCTCTTGGGGCACTCAGGCTAGGCAGGCAGACACATTACTCTTTCTTCAGCATGGAAATGCACTTCTGTGCTCCCCACTGCATTCCTCCACCGAAAGCCTACAGCACCCAGAAGGACCTGTGATGGCTCTTTCCTTGAAAAATGTAACAGATGAAAGTACTGCTGCACAGCAGTGCACTCTATGTGGCCTGTACACTTATCTCAATACACTACTTCAAGGTGTGTATTTCTTGCTCAGTCTGTTCTGCACAGCACTTGCTTGCTTTAAATAGAAATGCAGAACAGTGTATTTTACAGTCCTTCCAGAGACAATGAAAAGTCTTTTCACTATTAAAGGATATCTGGAAAAGATGAAACTGCCCACAAAATATTAAGCAAAGAAAAAAAACACCAAAACACCACAGCTTGAAAGCATGAAGTTTAAGACAAATGATACTGCCTTAATTTATATGATCTGCTAGGAAGATTTTAGATACCCATCAAGAAATGGTATTTGGGACTGTATGTAACTGGCAGAGCTTCACCCCATCAGCACGCCAGCATAAAATTAGAAACTCAGAACTTGAACAATTCCATGGAGCAAACAAAATGCTATGAGTCAAAAGAAAGCAGCCCAGAGCCATTCTTCAGAAAAGAGTTCCAAGCCAACATCGTTTCCATTGACAGCGTATGAATCAGTGCCAGGTGGTTAAAAGAGACACTCCACTGTTTCTCTGGAAGTGAAGATGGGAACCGTGGAGGCACTGATCCTGCAGTGATGGATCTGAAGTCTCTGCAGAAACGCGTAGGATTTCATTTCTATAGGAGAACGTCTGCTCCACATTAAAGCATCACTTAAGGAGGCCAGGGTGGGGGGGGGGGAGGAGCAGCTCCCTGTTTTAATAGCCGACGGTTTCATTAGCCCTCACTGATGAAAGGCTAAGCTTGCTCCAAGTTCTCCATTTTAGGTAAAGCTGCACAGGCTGACTAGACTCACCATTCAGTTATTTCCATCTATTCTTCCCCCCTTTCTGAAGGGAGAAAACAGCACGGCCCTACAGCTCATTACACATCCAAGTTTCACAGTTGAAATGAGCACAGTATCTTAATATTCCCTGTTCCTACAAACATGGCAGTGCTTAAACTTAAGGGTAACAAACACATAGTCCAGATTTTTTTTTTTTTTAGCTAAATGGCACTATGCTCCAGCACCAACTACATCTTACCATTTGCCGATATTCCCGAATCATTTTTAATTTATCTTCTCCTCCTTTGTTTTCTTCTTTCTGTTCAATGCTGCTGATTATTCTCCAGGAAGCTCTTCTGGCTCCAATCACGTTTTTATATGCAACAGAAAGCAGGTTTCTTTCTTCCACTGTCAACTCCACATCCATTCCAGCCACTTTCTTCATTGATTCAACCATTTCTAGGACGAAAAGGTCACACAGTTATTCTCAACATTAAAACATCCTTCAAACCATTCAAGAGAAGCTGTGCATTAATGATAACTTGTCAAAACAGGCTCCCTCCTCCTTTCATACAGTTACACCTTGCTTTTAGAGAGCAATGTTCCAAACAAGTCAGTGAGCACCTACACAAAGGAACTGCCTGATGCTCTTTTAAATGCATTTGACAGGGGTACCCAAAACATTTCTTAAGGACAGCTTGAGACACAAACAAAACCAGCTTAGCAGTAGGATCCCATAGAAGCAAAGCAGCAAGAATGCTGCCATTAGGGAAGCGAGTTGAAGTTCCAAATGGAAACCACCAGAAGAAAAATTAACTGCTTGGAGAAGTGACAAAAGAGTCCTCCTGAGGATAAGCAGAGCAGCACCACCTAGCCATGCCAAGCAACTATTTGCACTGGAAAAATAACACACTAAATGTAATTTGTATTTATAGCTTAAACCATTTAGAAAAGACTTCCAAACCTCAGGTGAAAAAAATGATTACTAAATACTGCTTTTCTATATCCAAATGAAAGTAAAAGCCTGAATTACTTAAGGAAGGCTTTAATCCTTTCATTACCTCATCACATTATGATTTCCTATGACACAACAGAAAAATAAAGGCTGAAATTATTACGTATGTGCTGAGAGAGCCTAGTCTGAGACACCCAGAAGCCCTAAGTTATCTCCTGCCAAAGAGTGCTTCAGCTCATTCAACCTTTACCTTTCAGCTTCTAGAGCAGATGAGAATCCCACAGACAGAAAGCCATTAATGAGACTGAGCCCCCAGCAGCACCCTAACCTTATCTACCTCACATCCTCATTCTCCCCTACCCCCAAATCTTCACATGTTCTGCTGTATAATGGCAGTAAGTAAGAAGATGCACGTGAATCTGAATTGTCATTCCCTCATCCCATCAGGTGCCAAAACTCATCACCTTTGCAGGCAGAAGCCATTTCAGTAATAGAACTCTAGCCTCAATTTTCTCCCTTGCAGGAACGCTGTTATCAGTCTCCAGCAGGTTGCCACATATGCAGGACAATTTAATAGCAGCTCTGTTCTCATCACAAGAAAAAAACAGCCCTACCTCTAACAGTACATCCTGCTGCTCCAGCTCATGAAGTGACAAAAAGTGATGCTAGGATAAAGTGTTTACCACACCTTATAGCTTTAAAATAAATTCTTTTTGATGAAGATTTCAGAAAGTCATCCTAAACCACTCTTTAAATCCACTTAACATAAGCACACAATTTAAACTAGATAAGTTAAAAGCAGTACTATATAGTTACAGCAAGCAACTTAAACAGTGCGTGCCCTAGGATTTATTTCCTATAAGGTGACCCTATCATCTATTCAAATCATTTCAGAACTTTGATTTTTTTTTTTCCTTGAACTATGAGTTATGCTCTCAGATTTTGATGTTCCTTATGCAGCAGAGGTACATTCAAGGCAGTCTGGCTGTCACAGTGTTTGCTCTTGTGAAGGACGACGAACACAGATGAAGACTTGCAGTCCCTGCTAGTTGGATATCTCTGCCAAGCTCCAGCAAGAACTATAAGGCTTGTAGTTTAGCTTAATGTTTAACTGCCCTCAGATAAGAAAAGTAATTGAAACTGTACTGCAGCTTCAGCTTGAGAGATTAACCTGTGAATGTAGCTGTGAATGCACAGCCCTCCTTTCACTCGTTAGTCACAGAAGTTCATGAGCTGAAGAAATACTCTCTAGAAAGTAAGTGCAGAAAACATGGAGATGCTGGGCTCTTCATCTTCCATGTTCACTTCCAGGCTTCCATCATCAATGTGAAGAGCTTTGTTCTGATGGAATATGACCACCATCCTTTAGCCAAACATGTACTGTCTAAACCTTTGCATCTCTTTATAGATTAGTGTGATGTACGTAGGTAATTAACTGCTCCACAAACACGGAGGTGAGAAACAGCAAGTTCCTGGGCTCTTACATCCTTGAGAAATGAAAAAGCACACCTGTACGTTCACCCATTGGGGGAAAAAAAAGCAGCCTTATTCTAGACCAAGAAATATTCTATCCAAAGACACGCCCACAAACAGAACAAGTATTTTGTATTCTAGGTGCAGCTTTAGCTGTCTGGAAGATCCTACGCAGAGATGAAAAGCTTGGAGACGGTTCATGACAAAGTACAAGTCTCAGATTACATCTCAGAAGGATTATGGCAGCAATGACAACTCATTGCACACCTCATCTGAAGATGTTAATGCTGCATTAGAGAAGTAGCAGCACTACATGGATTCCGAAAGAGCTTGTAATTAAGTGGTTAAGTTGCAGCTTTGTGGCTGTCACCATATTATACCACTGTCACACTGTGCCACAATCAGAGCAGGAAATCCCCAAAGTATGAATTGAGAGGACAAGAGAATATTCTGGAGATCTACAGATTTCTATCCTTCTCCAGGCCTCTGCCATGGGTTGTTTTTGAGAAGTATTACAAGAAATGAACACTTTTGACTAAGCAGGTAACACCATTTATATATTTTATAGGGAAAAAAAGCATTTTAGAGAGACACAACACTGCCTGCCTTCACAGCACTCCACACCAAACCAACGTGGCACTATTAGTTATCTGTCCCTGAACACTGCCAGCCCACAGCTGGCTCCTCACAGCACCGATGTGCTGACTGACCTGCAGCCACATGGAGGGGACACAGGGACACAGCCACAGCCTGTGCAGCACAAAGGAATGGGACAGAGGCTGCCACACTAAGGACTACTACACACAAGAGGGTGTGTGCCTCGGGGCTGGGCCTTCTGTTTTAGAGAGGAAGAAGAATACAGCTTTAAATCCCAAGATACAAAGTTTGGCATGCCTGTAAATCACAATGAAGCTTTCTAAATCCCTTAAGCATAACTATAGTTTTTCCACCTTTTCCAATAGGTAGAGGAGCAGCCAAAACTGAAGTTTTAAATGCTGGAAGTGTATCCATTTCTTTAAAAATACATATACATATATATTCAAATTAATTGATCTAAAACACAGTGCCTTGGAAGCACCACCATGGAAAAAGAACAATACAATGCAGCAGTGTAGTTCTATGGGAGGACTGCAATCCATCACAAAGCAGAGAAGCCTCCAGAACAGATGACCCTTGTGCAAGAAATAGAGCCATTTGCTTTAAATGCTAATGGACCCATACAAAGCCACAAAGTTAATTTAGTGTGCACTAAAAACTAATGGGGGAAGTTTACAAGTGTTGAGAAACAAAGCACTGATAACCATCTATTAGGGCACAAGTGATGAGGAAACATACAGAACAAAAGAACGAACGTCTCTTTATCAGGGGGAAAAATAAAGAGACAAAGTATTTTTCTGTTCCTCAATCTCCAGAATTCCCAACAGTTCAGGAACTGGAGCATCTCTGCATAAAGAACTGAAGCAGGCAACACACTGCAAATTTTCTGGAAGAATTACAAGCTTTTCCAAACAGAATCCAACATTTAACAGCAGACCTTAGGAAGGAGCAGCACTGCATATCAAATAACACCAGAATAAACCTGACAGCTTTATCATTTATGCTACTCAGACTGAAAATGCAAGTCTAGGTCAGTAATTAACACAAGTGGCAACAGAAATCACTTGACCTGAGCTATGGCTGATGAGGGAAGACAATGCCTCTTCCTTAGCTCACCTGTGTTCACCACAACCAGCGTTTGCAGTACTGGTGATGTACAAACCAAACACACCAGAAGGACCCCAAATGCAGTACCTGATCCTCAACTCATGCATGTTCTCTAAGATTTCAGCAGCAGAACGAAAAAGGCTTTTAAGAAACATGCCAGCAGACATTAAAGGGGAACTGTTATTAACTAACACTTCCAAGTGCTCAAGAGCAATTATTTCATTAAAAAAAAAAGAGTGGATCATAAATGCTATATTGAAGTGTACAGCTTTCTGTAAGTGGACACAGTGCCCCACAGATCTACTCTGATGCTCTGAGCAAGTCACACACACAGACAAGGAGGACATGAGAGATTCAGTCGACCCAGATTTCCTCGAGGCATTGGCCAGAGCTCCTCACCGAGATTCTTTAAGGAACTCTACTGCTATCAGATACAGATCAGATCCTCTCATGCACGGACACCTGGCTGAAAGAGAGCAAACAGGGTATGAATGTAGGCTCAGTGCTCAGAGCAGAGTAAGATCACCAGTGGAGCCACACAGCGATCAGTGCTAGGAAGCATGCTAGCATCTGTAAGTGGATCCACAAAAAAGAATATTCAATACTAATTTAATAGTCCCAGCAAATTGCTAAGAGCAATAAAGACCAAAGAGAGCAGGAGAAATAATGGCACATGTGTTTTCCCTATTAAGTGATGTGTAACCATGAGAACTACAGCCCATAGATTCCATTCTCTCCAGACGTGCAGCCCTCTGATCCATATGATATCAGCAGGCACCATCCTATTCACTGCAGAGATCAGCTCCAAATCCAAGGCAAGAGAAACTAAGGTTTTAACTGCCTGTGCATCCCAGACAACTCCATCATTTGATTGTATGACTCTGAACCACACAGTTCTACAAACATGCTCCTACTTCAATGCTCTTGAAGATATACATGACCTAGACCAAATAATCCAAGTAACAGTGGCATTTTCTGCACAATCAATCCTAAAGACTATCAACACAATTTCTAAGTCATTTCTACATCTTCAAGTTGGGAAAATGTGTCTTCCTGAAACAAAGAGGACTACTAACAAGAGTCAGTTTGAAAGCAGACACAGGCAAACACAAAGACTGAGTCTCATCATACATTTCAGTTTGACTGAGATCTGCTACTAAACAATCTCCTTAGACAAGAACTTGTCTGAGTTAATGGACACTAACCCAGTATGTGGTCTCCTTGCAGAGCACCAAGCCGTCTAAGTTTGGATGCTCAACACTTCTGGTATCTCAGAAGTTTCAAGAAGGAAATCATGGAAGGTCCTCTCACACAGCTTTGTTGGGCAGAGGGGAATTACACCCCTTAGATACATGTACATTATTTACTTGAAAGAGGACCACTGCAAACTGAAAATAATGAACTTAATCATTAATCTATATTACAAATGAGAATGTGATTCTTCATCAAGTCCTGCTACCATGAGCCCATTCATTCTACAGTATGTCCGGATCTTGGACTCAGTGTACTGCATCACACCTTCCTGCCTTCAGAAGGCTTGCTTCTCTGGCAATGAGTTAATAGCAACATGGGAGTTACACGTTGACTTGCTGTACTGGGAATCAGGAGAGCTGCCAATTATCTTCTTCCCAGCTGTAAACTGACCTATTATCCTCACCTACTACACCCTGGGTAAATTTCAAATCATTTATTTCAAGATCTGGGGTATAAAACTGCTAGCAGGACTGAAGCACCCACAGTATTCACCCAGAGCTTACCTTCTATCCTAGCATGCTTCTCAACTGATGAGAAGAAAGGTGCTACCTAGCTTCTGCAACGGAGAGTTAGTTTTGACATTCAGCAGTCCGTGAGAACGCAGATACATACAATCTCTTGATGTAAGAAAGTAAAACGTTAGTAAGGCGATTTCATAAACCAACGCAGTTTTATCTACTCCAGCTGTTCCCCAGAAAAGGCATTTCATACATATATTACGCTATTGGTAACAGTCTTTGAAGGAACTCGGAGGGTTTTCACCCAGAGGGCGGTGACACGCTGGAACAGGTTGCCCAAGGAGGCTGTGGATGCCCCATCCCTGGAAGCATTCAAGGCCAGGCTGGACGTGGCTCTGGGCAGCCTGGGGTGCTGGTTGGTGACCTGCACATAGCAGGGGGCTGGAACTAGGTGAGCACTGTGGTCCTTTTCAACCCAGGCCATTCTGTGATTCTGTGAACTGCAAGTAAGTGTCTTTTTTTTTTTTTTCTGAAGTCTGATTTGTCACAAAGCTTACTCTAATACAAGTAAGCTTCCTGGCATTTTGGGATCTGTCATGACATGCCTAAGTAGATCTGTAAGGATAGTCAGACACCCAGATCTCCTACTATCTCCAGAGATCACAGCTTAAGCATTATTTACACTGCAAAAGCACCCAAGAAAGATGTCCTCTTAATCTGGGCCAATATACCCCAAAGGCTGTACAGACACAGGACTAGATTCCCAACAACTCGCTTGCACAGCTTGCAAGCTTCAGAACTTAAGTGGGTCATGTAACTAAAAAAAAACCAAAAAACTTGTTAGATGCCTACCTTAGGAGCTGCCTTAAATGCCATGGACCATGGCTGTTCTAACCACTCAGCACGCTGAGTCTCAATGAGAAAGATGGGGCAGGATGGAATGCTATCCTAACATTAAACATTAAAAATTGTCATTTTACATTCATATTCAAGTCGCAAAACAGGTTTCTATTCCAGCATATTTGTAGCCAGTACTTACCATCAGTAGTATCAAAGTTATTAACTGTTACCTCACCATCACATCTCTCAAAGATAAATTTAAAGAATAAAACTAAGCATCACTTCACTTCCCCACATCATTTCATTCAGCAGAAATGCAGCATTTCATGTAAATGAGAACAAAATATACCTTTCATTTTTTAGTTGGTTCCAACTGAACAAGAATACAGAATTAGATGCTAAACCTGCACCTACACTACATATTTTTCCAGGCCAGGGACATGAGAAAGGAGGACACCTTTAGCACAGCTAGAAGAATTAAGGGATGCACCTTAAATTTGTTGACTCAACTCGATGCCAACGAATTCTGCAAGTCTAAAACCCACAATATTGCTTTAGAGATAAGAACACTGAAGTATCATCACCTCCTCAGTGATAATGTTCTTGTTACCATTCAGAAGCCACACAGAAGCCCTCTAAATTCGGACCTAGCCAATTCATTCTGCAAACATCCATGGGAGCATTGGGACAGAAAGCCCACTGACAGAAATGCCACACAAAGGCAGTCTCTATCAACCCTTTCTTTTTTGTCAGGAAATCAGGCTGTGTTGTAGATTTCTATCATGGGGTAGGATCTGATTACTTTCCGAAGAGGTGATTTACCATTTATCTAGGAAAGCATCAGACAGTTACACCTCAAAAGCTCCCAAAGATGATATACCCCCCAGACAGCTGGTTTGGGGCTCCAATCAAACCACAGCCAGTGCTCACTGCTGCACTGACATTCACCTGAACCAGGTGGACAAGCCTTCCCCCACCCCACACACAAATGCTTAACTCCAGCAATACTGCTGGATTTGTGGTCTTTGTGGAAGATGGCAGCAGGGAGAACAATGCACCTTCCCATCCCACACTGCTAAGGAGACAAAAAAACCCACAAAAAATACCCTACAGCCCCCTCCTCAACCACCTGTTCCCATAGATGTTGCCCTCCTACTATGAGCTGCACCTTTCCTGGAGGGGTGGACTTCAGTCACCCCACAAAGCCTGGTCTGGGGGACATTTTTTCCCTTTAAGTCCCTACATTAACAGGGAGGAGACTATTTGGCTGCTGTCACCCAGTGGGATTCTCATTCCTATCCCACTTCCTACCAGAACATTCACTGCAGATGGTCTTAATTACTCCTTCCTTCTTCATTTGAGTTTCTGTTTTCCTCCCCAAAATGTTTATTTCTCAGATGTTTTGGAATCACGTTATCAGAAGTTTTCTAAGCAATAACCCGGAGAACAAAGCCTAATTCCCACCAGCTGACTCCTCTGCTCTGAGAAAACTGTGACCAATTCGAGGATCCACAGCATCTCCCTACTTCTAAATGAAACCTAACTGTACTCACACCCTTTACACACACTGGTGTTTCTTCCAGCCAAAATGCATAAACACGGGTCTGAGGGCAAAAGGAACAATCCCAGATGATTAACACCACCGAGAAAATTAAAGGCCCTTTCTGCTGTAGGCAAGAAAAGCACCTTGAAGGGAACACTGACACGGCAGACATTTTGGGGGCAAGAAACACCATCCGGTGCTGCCAGCTCCTTCCCACCGCCCCTTTTTTCCCTTGATATAAAGGGATCGCGCATGGAGCTTACAAAGGAAAAGGGGAAAAAAAAAAAAAAAAAAAGAGACAAAGTGGCAATGTAAAACGGTCAGTAATGATTTCCAGCACGTAACGCAAGCATGTGCTCTTCCTTTAGGTAATGATGGGCAGCGCTGCAGGGCGAGAGCTGCCCCTCTGCGGGCTCCCCGCGGCAGCCGTGCCTCCAACAGAAAGCGAAGGGAGAGAAAGAGAAGCGCCATCCCGCTCCCTCGGGCCCCTCCGGCATCGCCTCCCGAGGGCCGGCGCGGGGCGTTGTCTGCGGCGAACCGACCTCAGCCCCACAGCGCCGAGCTCCGCGGGGCCGGAGGGCGGCACAGCGCCGTGCCGGAGGCGAGCCGCACGCCGCCGCCCGCAGGACGCGGGGTCTCTTTGTCGGACCCCCGAGGCGGGGGCGGCTCCCCCTTCCCCCTCAGGACTCGCCCTTCGCGGCCGCCATTTTATTCCCGGCTTCTGCCGCCACCGCCCCCCGAAGCGGGCCACGCCCAGGCCGCGGCCGCCCGCTCGCTCGGGGCCCCCCATCCCCGGCTCCGCGGCCCTCGGGGCGCTCCCCGTCGCCATTTTGTCGGCGCCCCCCTCCTCCGCCCCTGCCCCCCCCACCCCCGCCCAGCCGCCATTTTGTGGCCGCTCCCTCCCTCTCCCCTTGGCCTTGCACGGCCTTCCCGGCCGGCGCTCACCATCGTAGCGCTCGGCCTGCTCGGCCAACTTAGCCTGATAGACGAGATCCTCCCGATCGTCCATGTCCTGCAGGCGGAGCGGCGTCGGGGAGCGTACGGGGCGGATGGAAGCCGATGGGTCTGGGGGGCTCAGCAGCTACCAGCTCGCTGCTCTCCGGGCAAATATGGCGGCAGCACCTCCTCCCGCTGCATCCGGGCACTTCCACAACCGCGCGCATGCGCCCTGCGGCTTCCCATGGCAACGGCGGCTCCTTAGCAACGGGCGGGAGGCGGCGGGGCCGGGGGCGGGAGCGCGGCCATTTGCTCCCGAGCGGCGGCCGTGGGACGGCAGGCGAGAGGTGCGGAGCCGCTGGGGTTTGGGGGGCTGGCAGGGAGCCCTGCTCGCGTGAGGGAGAGCCGGGAGCAACGGCCGGGTGTGTGGGTGGGGAGGGGGGGGCACCGCTGGATGTGTTCTGGGTGTAAAAATGCCTGGAAACGGTCCGTTTCCATGGGACCTTTTGGACCTCAACTGTTGTTCAGTCCTCAGAATTATCTGGAAATATATTAATATTTATGTTTATATTTATATATAAATATATACGGGAAAGCACAAAGATATTAATGTGTCTGGACTGAGGTGAAAGTTAGGTATCAAGTCCAGAGGAAAAAAAAAAAAACAACACAAAAACTATTTCCAGTCTGAAGAAAATACGATCAGAAAATGCAGATTTTGGTGAAATTGGGAATCACGATGTACCTTTACCTCTTAATTGTCCGTAAGGACGCAGTACAGTTACCAAGGATTCTGGTAGGCATCCCGAATCCCAGCAGTATTCAGTCACCGTGTATCTGTGTAACGTTGTACAACTTAAAATCACCTCCGCACTTCATAAATCTTAACCAACAAAGCCTCTTTTCTCAGCAGCTAAGACTTAGTTCTGCGTGGGGCTGTGCACGATTAATTAGATTTGCCTCAACGTAGGGATTTTACGTGATCCTCGATTTCCTGATGCAATCCTTGCCTCGTCCTTTGCACCCACCACATTTACACAAATCGACTGGACTGCTACTGCAACAGAAAATCACTGCAAGAAGCAGCAATAGTTCTCTGCGTAAATCCTGCACAACAAAGCCACGGAGGTTTGCAAATACAATACTGAAGTAGGTGAGCGAGGAGTAAAGCTGAGGGCAGTAGTACTTCTGCCTGTGGAAATTGATTATATGAGGCTGATGGGGTTATTGTGTGGAGGCATGACAGGAAAACTGGCATCTCAGTATAGTTGAATGCAAAGTCCCACATGAGGACTCCACCAAACGGTACTGATGAAGAAAGTTATGTGTAACTTCCCAACTGAATACCAATCAACTAAAATGCGGAGTGCTTTCATTGTGATGTAGTGAAAGAAAGCAAATGCCATTGTTGAACTTAACAGCAAGAAAGAGGATTACTGACCATCAAGAGTCTTCCCTGCATATTCCCAGAACCAACACACAGTGTAGTAAATTGGGGGTATAAAATATGGCCTACTCAATGCAGCAAGGGCCTTGTGAGCTAAAGAGCACCTCCAGAAGGCCAAATGTTTGGGGGCATTTTAAGTCATCTAAAGAATCCCCAAACTATTTTCCAATGCATCCCTCTAGTTAGAAGTGAGACTAATAACTGACAAGTCTCATTTTTACTTTCTTCCTGAGTCCTTCTGCACTGAGAATACTTTTCGCCCTCCCCCTGCACTGAAGGAACTCAGAGAGTTACAGACATTCACCTTGCTTGAAAAAGGCTGTGATATTTTCTGGTTGATAACTTATTTTAGTCATCTTGTCTTCCTTCTGCAGGTATTAGGTTTAATTGTTTTAATATGAGCGTGGTCAATTAAAAACAGACTTAACAGCACTTCTCTTTCTATATTCTTAAACACAAGTATTACAATGACAGCTGATTGAGAATGACACCAAGCCAAAGTTTTGGCTATACTTTTATTTACTTCACATACTATGAACATATACATTACATGCTACAAAAAAATAATTAAAAAAAAGACTTTAACTGTCAAGAAAGTGGATAGTGTTATAATACAATGGCACATGTTCATATTTCTCTTCAAACTGGTTTGGTTAGAATCCTTCCCCAAAACCATTAACAAAAATGAAGTGTTTTATTCTTAAGATGATTAGAAATATTTGCATTATTAACAAATACAATTCAAACAGATTAACAAGATTTAACCAGATCAAATATTAGTAAAAAGGCTGGGGTTTACCAAAATGAAATCTATATTAAAAAAACATAGCAGCCAGTTGTACTTTTAGTGTGATATAACGTGTAAATGCACCAGAAGAACACAGTGTAATTGAGCATTCTGCTTTCATGGTGTATTTCTAGAAATGATTATTCTAGTTCTAACACCTGCCTATGCACAACAGAGCAAAACCACAGCCAGACAGAGACAAGAGATTGTGACCAACGTCTTCGCAATGATTCTTTGCACGCACTGGGAAGAAGGGAGAGAACAAACAGAAGAGGATAAACAAAGGCCACACAGAGGATTTAATCTACATGGTCATGAACGTATGTTCTAGCTATTTTCCTTTAAAAGAGCTCGATAAGTTGAAATGTCTATTTTGCACAAATGCAAACATTAATTTCTATCACCTATGGAAAAAAAAAAAACTCACATTTCAGCTTAGAACTGAATAGTGGAAAACAGCTGCATGGATGTATTGGTTGACTAAGAAAAACTGCTTGACAAGAACTTAGGATTCTAGTGCAACAGCAGCTATTAAGACTCCTCTAGTTTCTTTTTTGCTCTTTCAAAGTGTACAAATATTTGCAATTTATACAGTCTTCACAAAAACACATCTACAAACTTTGCAGGGTATTTGCTAGTCAACAAATCCATTTATGTCTTTCGTATTAAAAAGGCAAGGTTTGCATAATAAATTTCCTTTCAGGAAAAAAAAGTTATTTCGCTATCTTAAAATAACTGCTGATTGGAAAGGTATAAACGTATGGACTTCAATTAATTGCAACTGGAAAAAATGCGTCAGAACAAACTGTGTCAATCTAAGAACAGTTTGTTGTGCTGCTTCTGTAAAACCTGAAGAAAAGTATTAGCATATATGGGCAACTGATAAGCTCAGTGTTAAGCCTGCATTAGAATGCAGCTAGTGAAAAATCAGTGGCAACAAGCAGTAAGACCAGAGGAAAAATACAGCTTGGCCTTAAATACACCAATTTGTTCTTGGCCCTTGAGTTAGGTTCTGAATTTGTTTCCTCAATGGAGACTGAGTACAGAGCTAGAAGTGATCTCTCAAGCAGAGCAGCAGATCACCCTGACCAGAAGAACCATCCAAACTAGAATAGCACTGCAATTCCTTCCTTACTGTTATTCTTGGGTCACTGTTACAACAACTATCAGTTTGCTAATAATCTTTAGTACTGCTTAAGGGATTGGTGATAGAAAAGTACAATTAATGTACATTGGCATTAGTTTACAGAATTATTGGATGCCCATTACCTGAAAATCAGATTTGCTAAAATGAATTAGTTTTGAAGGAAAGCAACTAGTACTTAAATATAACAAATATTAACGTTTCCAGCATGTTACACAGTTCTGAGGTAAAGTGTTACCAGTATTCTGTCTGCTGGGTTGGTGCCTTGCAGCAATGGCATTTGCAGTGGGAAAACTGGCCCTCACGGCATTTACAGCCAGTGAGACATTCTAGTCTCGCATGGTTTGTATCAACCACATTAACATCTTCAGTTTGATACTGTTTAGAATCAGCTGTTCTGTGTGGGTTATAAGGTAGTCAAAGTTACAGAATTTGTTTGCTTGGTCACTAGAGTGCTGTATTTGGAAAACAATCCAGGGTACCGACAAGGGTTCGTTACTTCAGTGTTTAATTTCAGTTTACAAAACTTACTGAATCCATTCTGATTTATGTTAGAGAAAACCAGATAATTAGAAGAACAGGCTTAGAAAACAACAAACAAAACCAACAAGCAGTGCATAATTCCAACTATCCAATGCACTGATTTGCATTGTAAGCTATGAAGCCATAGTGACTCTTACTCCTTTTGAAAATCAATCCAGAAGCACACAGGTATTTTCCATTAGTTTATTAAAAATAAAATCCTCATGAATTCACTATCAAATATTTTACAGATGAAAATTAAGCCAGAAGAGTCCCCAGAGTGATTTCAAAATAGAAGTAGTATTTGCTTTGTCAGTTCACCACTTTTGACAATGATTTGCACTGTTAATGCATACGGGTATTGAACAGTTCTAGACTAGTTCGACTGGCCCTATGGAATTTATCTTTTTCTGAAAGCAGTGTAAACGTTTTAGTACATTTAGTGAATCAAACACTGCTTTAAAGCTATGCCTTAAAGTGCTACGCATTTATTTTTCAGCACTGGTATGGATGTTTACACTTTAATAAGCCTTCTATTTGTGGATAAAGAGTTACGGGTGTGTTAATAGAAATTTTAAATTAAAATTAGCTGCTATGTCTGAAGCATCAACAGTACTGAATAAATCAATCTAGTGTCCACCAGCGTCTAGAATTCTGAGGTTGATTTGTTCTGTCATTTACCATTAAAATGGTACGTATTTGTAAATCATAAAAGTCTGTCCCCAGTGTGCTCTAAAAAATCTGTACTGTGCATAGTTAACTCACCATGCAAAGTACTACGTAGCATTTCTAGGACAGAGAATTCAGGATGGAAAAAAATAAAATGGAGAAAGCTCCAGGATAAATTTGTGGGAAAAAAAAAACCAACCCAAACAAACTATCTATACATTGAATTGTCTAAGGTTGATGTTCATTGCCTGAGGAAGAAGCAACATAAAGAAAAGGACTGGAGAGAGCTTTAAATGCTGTCATAACATCTCCGTTACTGCTCTCTCCAGCTGATGCTCCTGGCAAGGTCCAGTCTGCTGTGCACATGGACATAAGCAGGCATTACAACCTATAATCATGTACTAGTTCTGCCACTTGACACACAACTTATCTACTGTCGTACCCTGAATTACGTGACCCTTGATTAAGGAATGGTGGTGTTCAGTCCCAGGGGTTTGCAGGTTATCAGAATGCTTATACAAGCAATACCGCTTTCAGCCTCTGTCAGAACACAGTCTTGATGGCATCTGCAATAAAAACAAGTTGAGATTGTTCCCATCTGCAAGCGCAACTGTTGAGCCACACTCAGCTGAAGTCCTCATCAGGATTCTGTTGATCCAGCAGGCGGACATGTGTGAATGGAAAGTGACCACGTTTGCCATTACATTCTCCTTCCCACTGACCACTCATGTTAATCTTTGTGACCTTTACCAGCTCACCGACCTGCAGGGGAAGGAATAAGGAAAGTTACAATTCACACACATGTACAGGATGAGCTGCTGCTCCTCCCCCTTGGTGTCATATCAAGTGTACCACAGATAATTCTATAAAAGCAGTTTCAGTCTTAACCATTTTTGATGCACCAGCCTACCACCTAAAGTTTCTCACTCGTGAAGAACATATAGAAAGAAACTAGCTAGGCTAGATGAGAACTACCATCTAGTCTGCAATCCAAGACCAAACTTTCAGAGCACATCTGGACCCTGACATCAGCTGCTATCACAATAACTGGATGTGGCTGAACTGACAGAGGTTTGTGCTCTGCTGTACTGCATCAACAGCCCCGCGAGGGAAGGGAGTGAGGGAATGCAGTTGGATGAAGGAAACACTCATCTGCAAACTAAATGGCTCCTTAATGCTGAAATTCCTCTAGGTGTCTCCAGGTAGTACTGAAGGAGTTTGGGATAACTGGGGGCTCTGTTTGTGGAGGCACTGATTATAAAGCACTAGGAGAACGTTTGGAGAAGTACTGCCTTAACACTGCTCTGTTCTCACTCTCTGAGCATCCACGTCAAGCCACTACCACAGGCAAGGCCAGATGACCTTTCAGTCTTTTGTCCACAGTTTCCTCAAATAAATTCCATGGGTACAGTGAAGACAGTTGATGCCCTCCTCCTATTATACCCAAAATGTTTGCCTAGAAAAATAATAATTACTGTGGACTAACAAAACAACATGCTGTATTTAAAAGCATCCAGTTCTATGTACCGCACTAAATAAAAGCACAGCAATGCATCTCATCTTCTAATCTCCAGCATAATTCACAACCAATTAAATCTAAAGGAATTGCCTCCCTTTTACAAGGGCAAAGAACTGCACAGCAGATATTTTCCCAAGGCTGACAGTTATGTAGCTCCAAGCAGGGCCACAAGTCTAGGTCTGATCAGTCCCCAGTTCCTCCGCATCTTAAAGAATACATGAACTTGTACAGTGATTTAGAAAGTCAGTGAAAGATATGTGTGACATCGAAAAGCTGCCTACCCATTTCTACCCCTCCGTGTACAGTTTTATCACTAACCTTATTTATGAGGAACACAACGATCTTCAGAATTCTTTCTGTGTCACAGACAGAAAATGCTTTGGGGACAGATATACTCTGTTTTCTTTCACTAATGCTGTAAATAAACTCTCAAGGCACAGCTGCAGTGTCTTACTGCATTTAACCTAGAAATTCACTGAGTATACAGTTATGTACATGCTCAGCACTATACCCAATTCATCCAAAGCAGAAGCTCATTATTCTCACTTCCAAGGCAGTGAATGAAGAATAAGGAAAGCAATTTCAGATGCTAGTAGTCTCTGTTAACTGTACAAGTTCTAATCCCTTGCAATCTCTTGCCAAAGCAGCTTTTAACAGTGCATACATTTAAAACACTGCATGGACATTTAATTAAGCTTCCCATAACTCTGATGATTACTTATCTGGTAATGAGAGGCACACAGGGGACTCTTGCTGCAGCTTTGTTTTCTTTCCCTTTGTAGTAATTAGCACAGACATTTTCACAAGCCATATTCTGAAGAAAATCCTCTTATGTATTTGCTAGAGGCAAAAAGGAAGCTTTCCTTGACTTCTGTATGCAAGCTTCAGCTCTTTAGGAATTTAATCACGCAGTGTGTATCATTTTGCTTCTGCTAATAATCACTGGGGGGCTGTAGCAATAAAAATACTCCGCTGACCAAAACAATAGAAAGCTATAATTTAATAGGGAAAAAATTAAATGTGATGATAGTAGAAGCAAAAAAAATTTCTTTCCTAATCATAACCATTACAAGAACACCATCCTAGACACCCTAAATTACTTCAAATCTGGATACAGTGCTTCAACAGCAAAGTATATGACCTCCAAACCAATATGAATGAGAAAAGCACATCCTCCTGTCTAGCTGAACAGCCTGACTTATCCTAGTAGAATCAGCAATTAAAGAGACACTTGTAGTCATCTGTGCTTCTCTATTGTATTTTTTCAAGCTAGCATTGTATCCTTAATAGATCCTGGATAATCTTACTTCAGTTGTTTTTATTTACAACAAAGTAATATTTAAATAGCTAAATGTGCATGCATTGCTTTCATTTGCTCTCTCAAACTTCCTTCCTACCTGTGTGGGAGCCGTGCTCCTATGTTCTGTGGACCACAGAGCAAGTCACATTCTATCTATAGGCCCACATCCAACACAACTCACACACTACTTACCTATGGTAATGTATTAAAAGTGATGCAACGTGCCCACTGTGCTTCTACAGCAGAACTGTATGAAAACTTCAAGTGGTGTGGCATGGGCAATTCTGCCTCCATTAAGTTACAAAATGAAGACAACACAGAGAAACTTCTAGTGAAGCTCCCTATTATTACAATTGCTGGAACTTCTAAACTTTTACACCAGAAGAGGATGTTCCCTTTGAATTCTGCTCACTTTGACTAATGCTATTACCAGCCTGTTGCACATCATCCCACCAAGCCCAGAATCCCAAGGAAAGCACTGTACTCTGCTATCAGCCAGACTTGGAGCAGTTCTCTTAAGAATTTTCAAAATGAAATACACTCCACATGCTGCTTCGAAGCAAAAAATGAAGCTTCGTGTAAAGACTTTTTTATTCCAAGTGCTTCTCTTTTGAAAGGTGAAAATGGTAGAGTCCTGTACTGTTACTGAGGGGAGGAGAAACAAAGTAAGATGCAATGATCTCAGAGTCATTAGCTACAAAGATTTTCCCTTCTTTTAACTATACCCAACAACTTCTTGAAAGAGGTCCAGTTACAAGCAAATTAAGTGTGGTCTTGGGTTAAAACATTCTTCCATAACACAGCACAGCCTTTGTTAGGACATAATTTGCTTTGATTCTCCTCTAAGTTCTTCAAACCCATGTTAGTTTTAACGTAACAGCACAGATAGTTCTGTTTGCAGTTTGGGCCACAAAACTGTTTGATGTTAACTATTTTATTTGCTTAGGACAAACATTGGGATCAAACCCCACCTACAAATATCACCCCATTTAAGACAGAGTTTTCATTTGGAGGAAACAAATTTAGATTTATAGTTAAGAGGTTTGGGCAAAAATGGACTGAAAAGATTTACATAATGCTTTCTAGTAAGCCATTGAAGAAAGAGATCTCTGAATAAATGAAGAAGAAACACCATGAAGTGAAAGGGAATGTTAAAAACAGAAAAAAAGACAACGAGAAACAGTACTTGCAGAGACAGCATGAAGAAAAACTGGGAAGGGTGAAGAGCACACTGCTGCTTTTTCCAGTACAGACACTGAAAGCAGTTCAATAACATTGTGATTTGATACGATAAGGGGTGCAAGGAAGCACAATTAGGAGCAGGGATAAATGCTTCAAGTCTCAAAAGTAAGTTTTCCCAATATTAAATACAGAATAAAGAACTACTGCTGTTAACAGATTTATTCAGTGTATAGCAGGATGGGTGCACATCATCCTCTCTGAGAGGCCCAACCTGCCAACCAGCAAGTGTTCCAGTAAGATGACATGGTCCATGAAGACCACTGCTCTAACAGACAGGCAGAGGTGCTATGAATCTTATTTCTATCCTCACACGTGGGCAGAACCTGTGGACTTCTCCATTCCAGCCCCTGCACACTTCTGCTACGCAGCACATTAGCATGAGAAGACCACAGCAGAGGGAGGTGGTTCAGAACAATGAGATGCCCTCCGTGAAACAACACCTTCCAAAAGCACAACATACTTGACAGAACATGAGTTTGAGTGAAGAGGATAAGAAAACCAGCCACAGCACTCACAAGCTGTTAGCCAGTGGGTAAGGAATTCTGCTTTCACTCAGATTTGCTCACAACAGCCCAGATGATCAGTATTTTCCTCATCCTCACCATTTTGCTCTATGCTACCAAGCCAGAATTTGAGTGGCATGGCAGGGTTCTGCTTTAAAGGAAATGAAACAAATTTAAGCTTAAAGGAACACTAGTAGCACATTGAGGTTAGTTAAAGCTTAAAAACAAAATTCAGAAAGAAAACCAAAAGATTTTGATACAATATGCGGCAGCAATCTAGAATGCCTCTAATCTAATTGGAACACTCCATGATGCTCAGAAATACTCTGAAGCTCCAGGAGGTGCCTTGGTGAAGTGGTGAGAAAGAGAGGAAAGGAAACAGCATTTCAGGTATTACAGAAATTGGAAGGTTAAAATCTTTGTATATTTCCCCAGAATTTGTTGAGTTGGCATGAACTTCCATATACATGCTTTTCAACCTCAAAACCTCCATTCTGTATCCTGGCTCTCAATCAACAAAATGTACAATAACTCAGAATATATTTCCACTGCTTCCCTAGGCAAATTTTTATGTACAGTGGGGAAAAAATTTCAGCTCTCCCAGGTTATACATCAATTACCAGATCTGTAGAATGTGCTACATTTGCCAATTGTGTAGTAAAGACATGTATATATGTTTGCCACATTGCTGAAATATTCAAGTGCATTTTATGCCACACAAAATTAAACAAATTATGAAGAGTGCAGAGATGTTCTGACTCAGCACAGAAACTGTTTTTTCCCCAAGTACTTAAAATGTCATATAAACAGGAAGTCAATTAGGTATCAGGAAATTCCAGAGTGTTTAACTCAAAGAGAGCCTAGATTAAAGGATACCATTTACATATCATCCTAAGGCAAAGGTCTGCCACTTAGAATACCTTGCCCTCAATTTCCTCAAATGTAACTTGGAGGATGACTATTTGGTGTGTAGAGATTGAGCACTATTCTCCTTTTTAAGAGGGAAAAAAAATATCAAAAAGAGCACGGATAAATATTTGATCATATCAAGAAGTGAATCAACCTTAGGGAAACTCATTGCTTTATTACAAATAATACTCCATCAGTCACTACTTTTCCTCCCTAATGAGTTATAATATATGTTCATGATTCACAATCTAAAAAAATGAAACAATCTGTTTGAGGTCAAGACATTAAAATAAACCCCTACGCGGGATCATTATTGCCTCAGTGTGAGTAATTTCAAAGTGACTATCAGTGCTTCCACTGATTGCTTTTAAAAGGCTGACAGGATGACAGAACAACTCAGCACACCTTTAAAGGCTGGGGTGGAGGCACGCAACATTGAACACAGGTTCAGACACACAACATTATGAGCCGCACCCAGTCCCTCCCCCTAAAATAATGACTTCAGAAGTGAAATGTGGATGGGGAAACACTTATGTTAGTGATGTTTGACAAGAGACAACACTGGATCAGTAACCTAAGCATGCTTATAAATCAAGCTAGTCTATAAGTGACTTCAGTCACTTATTTAAAAAAAAAAAAATCAAGCTTTATCAATAACTTATCAATCATGATACAAAACCAGCTTTACAGTGCTTTTTTTCCCTTTCTTATTCCTACAAAATTATAATGTGATGGAAAGGGAAATCCCTTGAACAGATCTCTTCTTTCTAAGTTTTGCCCATTATGTACCTCCAAAGCCAAGGCTGTCTTGTCGTAGGCATTAGGGACTCGCTTCTGGATAACCCGGGCATAAATAGGGCCATTCTGAAGGTTAGGGAGCGGAGTGTTGATGCTGGGCTGGGCATAGGGCCCTGGCTCCGGCCCACCCAGTGGTTGTGGGTGGGAACTATCCTGGTTACCTCCAGTCAGAGTAGATACTGAAGCAGAGGAAGGTCTACACTTCTCGACGTAAGGAACAGGTATCATTCCCCTCTTTCCTTCGCTGTCTTCTGCATTCCACCATTGCTCTTCAGGTTTATCCCGGATTTTCAGTATGTCTCCTTTCTTAAACGGAAGATCTTCGTCATCGTTTCCATTAAAGTCAAAGAGAGCTCGCACATATTCAACTTCCTCCTGTCTGAGGATAACGCCGCTATTCTGCCTGGATCGGGAAACTGGTTCTATCAAGGTTGTAGTGTCCAAATAGTGTATTTTGTAGAATTCCAGTAAAGACGGCAAAGAATCAAACTCCTGGTCACCTATTCGAAATCTGGTGGGATTCAACCCTGAAAGGAGAAAGTAAAATGTCAACAAAGAAAGCAAACAACAGTTACAACTGTAAATTAAACGTCTGAGAAGACTAATGCCTCTACAGACAAGTAATTTGATACTGATTTTGGTCATCCTTAGATCAACAGTCATCGTATTCAGCTCTTCTTGGTATTTTTAATTTAAGGGAGCATTGTTAATGAGGATTAAAGATTGGTTTAAAGAGGTTTAAAGATTGCGCTCATGATACTGAAGTATGTAACAAATTGACAATGCCAAACTTCCTGAATTATGACAGAAATATCTAGAATCCTGCAATGTTATATGGACCTTCAGTACATCTGCACTTCTCAAAGCCTATACAATTTTCACTGAACAGACAATTCATTTCTTTCCCACCACAGAATACTCTAAATCTGAACACCAAAGAAAGTCCTGGTACAATTTCTAACAGCACGGACTCTACAGAAAAACACTTAGCACAGCAATGCAACAATACGTTCTACAAGGCTTATAATTCATTCTTTTTATCTCCATTCTTGTATTTTCTGTACCATATTTTCAGATGGAATCTAAGCTGCAAAGGCAGGCCTCAAATACATTAAAATGCAAATGATGTTCATATTCAAGATATCAGGAGTATCAAATTGCAGATAATCCATTTCAGTTTTCAATCTGAGAGCTGCACAATTTTCTTTTCATTCTCATCAGGCTCAGCTGGGGAAAAACATATGTATGATGTTCCATTTCCACCATGCACCATATACTGTGTAATCAGTTATGGGAAGAATTGTGGAAGGCTGGGGGAGGGCAGTGAAGAGGAAAAGATTTATGCTTTAATGAGTAACTCTTAGCAAGAAAGAGATGCTTACTTTGCAAGTCTGCTTCTCTGCAGGGAATATCTAACAGTTCTGAGAATGAGCTCTCGAGTACAAAGCTAGCAGAATTTTTCAGGCTGTTGCTGATCCAAAACTCCCTTCAAAGTAGCACCGTCAGCACGACAAGCTAACGTTACAAGAAGGTCTTTCAAGAGAGCAAAAAGGGGCTCTAACAGAGAAAGGGCAGATTTGGTAAGATCAACACAAACAGCCAATAAATAAGTTCTGAAGTTCCTGAAGGAACAAAAAACACCAGTTAAGTTGGTTACAAAAAATTCAAAGCAGCAGAACTAAGTCATAGGAAAATGCACGTTTAGATGCATCAAAAGCTGAAGGGCTTTCAAAAGAAATCAGCCTCACTGCAGTGAGCCAAAAAAAGCAACAGTCTGAAATAACTACAAAAAAAAAACCAAAAGTAACTAAAATCCCACTGGCTTCACCAAGAGATAAGAAAACGAATGTAAATATCAGTGTGATGTGTGAACCTGGCGCAGAAAGAGGAGTAAGACTCTAGAAATAATGCATGACAGCCTGAAACAGCTGCCAAATGTACCTACATAAAACTTACTCTTAAGAGGAAAATCCACTGATGTCCTGTGCGTGAGGAAGGAGCGACTGACATCAGTGCACTGCAGCCTAGAAATGAGCCTTCCAAAATACATTTGATGTAATTGAAGAGTGAGAGAACGCAGCCCCTTCAAATATATTTTAAGATCACAGTGATCAATGTGCTCCTTGAAGGGACAAAAAGGAGTGACACCATTTACACAAAGGGAACACGCCCAAAATGCCACATGCTGATTCTGATTCTTTTGTTTTAAAAGCAGAGGGCAGTTACAGCAATTTGAGGTCTGGAAAACAAGACCTTTGCAGCAAGAAATCCACGAGCTTAATTCAAAATGCTGAAGAACATAAAGGGAGCAACCTGGTCACTGCCTGGAAAACTTTAATGAGAAGGTTCCTAAAAACACCACGACAAGACTGAAGAGTTCAAAGTCACAATTAGGAAAACACAGGCTGGAAATACAACCACACCTTACCAAGCAGGTGGTAATCTCTTCATCAGTTTAAGTCTTTGGTGTACACTCTTGTTCAGCTACAAAGTTAACAAGCTGAGCAATGTCAGGGAAATAATTCCATGCATTAGGAGCTCCCAAGTCCTGCCATTCCCTGCTATTATGAAACTCAAAGATTAACAGATTTCAAGCTCAGAATTCTTCAGCTTCTTGCTTGAATTGCAACACTTCTCATACCTGTAGGCTAGTGGAAAAAACTAAGGCAGGATCTACCATAAGGAAGTCAGAGCAAAAGAGCTGGGTTTTTTTTGTTTCTCTGGAAAAGCAGAGCTGTTTTTCTTCACAACCCTGCAACAGTTTTCTTGAAGGCACAAGTTCTAGCAGCACATTGTCTGCATCTTCCGAGGCCTCTCAGGAAAAGCAGAATGTGTGCAAAGGTAAGCCTAGCTTCTAGAGGAACTTTAGTCACTTCCTATTAAAGTTGGACAACTGAAGAAATCCTCTTCCCTTCTCCCCAGCTCTGCACAGCCAAAGGAAGGACAGCTGCTCAGCACCTCCGGCTGCAGGACTGCTCAGCTCTGTAAGACAGCTCCTTAAAAACAGAAAGGGAAAGAGCTGTGTCATCTTTCCTACTTACTCCATCTCCATCCTAGCTCCATCTGTGCCAGGACTTAATGTGATTCCATCCACTTGGAAACCTCTGCTCTCAGAGGGGTGATGAAAGGGTTAAAATCCAAAGTAGCCTGGAGTTAAACTAAGTGTAAAATCTGGACCCTGACTGATCTCTGTGACACATGGGCATTCCTGATGGAGGACTTTTACACTGGGTTGGCTTTGTGTCAGTGTGGAAAAGATCATCCACAGAGGTGTTAAATAAAACATCTAATATTTTTCTTGAGAGCGTGGGCAGGTGGCATAACCACAGAGCAGCTTCAAGCTTCATCAGACCTTCAAGGGTTTCACATTTCTCTCTGTACTCCCATTCTGTCAGTGCCACTAGGCAGTTTTCTCTTTATCCCTAAGCTTTGGTAAGCTTTCCTTTTTAGGGCATGGAAGACTTAACAGGAATATAGGTTTTCAATTTCATTTCTAGACACACCCCGTAAGCCCCTACCCCCCATCTTCAAAAGCGTGTTTGGGGAAAGAAAGGCTGCTCTTGGTGCCCAGGGTGCTGAGACACAAGGCTCTCTGGAGATATCAGTGACATATGACAGTTTTCCTCCTAGAGCAACTGTTACAGAGGCAAAACGTTTTGCCTGTCTCTCCCACCTTCATTCAGATGCCTTCTTTTCCTTGTTCTTCAGTGCCTCTCTGCTCACTACTGAGCAAAACAGACAAGCACCCAGAAATGCTCTATAAAAACAGCGAAATCCAGTTCACTGGTTTAATGAGTCCAGGAAGTACAGTCTTAAACTTTCAAAAAAATCACAGTGGAGTGCAATAAGTGTGTTTTAGAACGCAAACTTACTGAAAACATTACCTTCCACTCTATCACACTCTTCTATGTCTTAAAGAAAACTTATAAATTTGAGGTTTCTGGCCTTTCAATAAAAAACACTTCAGAAGTCTTTAGATGTTTTAGGCATTTTGTTTTAGTGCACAGACATTTTCACCCTGTGCTTGTATGTCAAACTGCAAAGACGTGATGTGTTAAAATATTTCCTTCTGTACTGAAGCTAGGTTCCTACTGTCACCTGCACACAGCAGTGTACAAGCAGTCACGAATCACACATGCACTTCAATCACCTGAAGCCAATAAATCAACACAGGAACCTGACCGAGCATATCTAGGCTTTTCAGCATTTGCTAAACAATGAATTGCAAAAAATAAGTATACCATATAGAAAAATAACACAGTAAAGTTGTTTTTCCTACTTAGCTATTTGTGAACGTTTACCTCATTTCACTGTGCTACCTTCCCCATCCAACCCTGAAATCATCTTCAATAATATCATGTCCCTTCCTTTAAAGAACTTTTCTCCCTACTACTTTTTCTGAAACTCTTAATTAATGTTAAATGTAATTTACTACACATATACTCTTTTTTCCTTTGACTGTGAAAAGATAGCAGCAACAGCATGATATTCATCTAAACCCACTAGAATTTCAGCACAGAAATATCTTTGGTACAAAAGTGAAGCAGTACCTACTCTCATAACATCAAGGTGGGGAAAAAAAAGTGGACTTCCAAAAAGTAATTAAGCTTCTTAACACAAATCAAACCTACTGCCAGAGCAGCCTACACAGCAACAACAGCAGCTGGTCTTCTAAAGCAGATGTTTAAAACAGAAGATAACTACATCAATCACCTTTCACAGAATCATAGAGGGGCTTTGGTTGGAAGGAGCCTTTAAGATCACCTCCATTCACTGAGGTGATCTGATAGGAACGTAGATTATACGCTCAATAACATGAAGAGTACTGGTTTTCCACAGATGAACCACTCTATAGAAAACAACCACCCAAAAAGGAGGCAGGCACACACACTTCAGTGTTTTTCACCTCCAGCATCTTTAAAATCCTATCAGGATGGATTGCACTACAAATCACCCTGGAAGCTTATTCTGCTTTCTGTACCAATCACACATTTCACACATTAAGCCTCCACAAACCTATGAAAATAAACCTTTACCTTGATAAGACACGAAACACTAAGGAACTGAACATGTCTTGTGTTAAACCATTTCACTACCTGCTTTGCTTCCAGTTCAATGCAGCCAACTTTATCTCCTGCATTGCAGAGCTTTCTGTGACTGGAATGCACCTTACAGCACTTGTAGATTCTCGTGACAAACTCAGTGACTTCAGGCTTTCACCAGTGTGCCAATTCTAAATGTTACCCCAAGCAGGAGAGATCACTGTAAAACGGTGCAAACCCACCAACAACAGATTTGTTCTTTTTTCAGATTACTTCTTCACCAGCTACAGTCTGCACAGCCTGAAAAAATCCATTCTTTGTCTCTGTAGCAACTTATGTACTAACTTCAATCCTTGTCAAGTCCATTAGATCTCCAATTACACAGCTTTATTACACGAATTTTCAAACTTTGTAGTGGTTTCTGAGATGCCAGCAATACGCCCACATCATTCTGTGAGCTTTAACATCCAGACAGGAGTGGCTCCACCACCAACTTCAGCAATGTCCCCAGCAGGGCTGTTGTTTAACTAAACATCACACTTCTCATCACACATCTACAAATTATACACTGCTGGGGGCTCTTGTTCACCTCGTTACACTTGTGCATTCAGAATCATCGCTTTCTGCAATATAGTCCTCTACAATTTAAAAGCAACTCTTTAAGGGTTAATTTAAGTATGTTATTTTTGTATTAGAGGTTGATGAGGAATAACATCAAATCTCCCCTCACAACACAAGGTGTGTGTAGGACGGGAAGCCCTGAATTCTATATCTAAAGGAACAAACGCCTTTACAACTCCTGAGGAGCTCCCACTATGTATTAACCCACCCTTAGTCTCTGATTCACGACTAAGTTTAGCCTCACAACCTGTCTCCTTAACGCTAAACTACTCCAACCGAATTCACCCTTTTAACTGACACTTCCACAGACCCATCTCCAGGCTCAGCTGTAACACCGCATCCACACGTTACCATTCACAGCTTTATGAAGAAAACAAAAGAACGCACAAAGCTGTAAAACCGTGACGGCTCCGGGTTGCACTCCGTCCCAGCGCACGCTTAGGTGCGAGGCAGGTGCAGGCTGCAAGACAAACCCGAGCTCCTCTACAAAGAGCAACGCGAGTCGCAGCGCCGCCCGTGAGGAGAGCGGAGCTCCCGGCACACGGCGCACAGCGGGGCCCGCAGCGGCTGAGGGGCACCGCCAGCCCTGGGGGTCACTCACTCACCCGGGGCCCCAGGGCCCTCGCCGCCGGCCCTCCGGCCTCCCGCCGGCCCCAGGCTGTTGACGATGTAGTGCGAGACGCGGGAGCTCTCAGACACCGAGAGCACGAAGTCTCCGGGGATGGTGCCCGAGTCGCGCACCAGGAAGGTCCCGTGGCGCTGCCCCTGCAGCAGCGACACCGCTTCGGCCCGGCTCAGCCGCCCCCAGTACCAGCTCCCCCGGTCCTCGGAGTCGAACTGCCCGGCCATGGGGGCCGCCCCGCCCGCAGGCCGCACTCGCTGCCCCCGCCCCGCGGGCCGCCGCCGCCCGCGGTGCCCCGCTCCGCGCCCAGCCCTGCCACACCAAAATGGCGGCCCCTGCCCTGACCTCACCTACCGGAAGTGACCGCAAGCGGGAGACGCGAGGGATACGTGACGTCATCTTTCCGCGCGGCCCTGGGGACGGTGGCTCCCTCGGGTGGGGGAAGCTGCGCATGCGCTCTGGGGAGATGGCAGGGCACCGAGAGCAGCAGCTACCCATTATCCAGGTGTTTTGTTCGTACCCCAGTTCTTTGTCCGGTGTGTGTGCTGTGCGGGCGGCCGGGATCTGTCTGTGCATCTCGTTAGGAGGCGAACGTAACCCCGAGTGTCACAATTACCCGTGGTTTCCCAGCTCCTGAAGCTTTCTGTGATCGCTCGTGTGAAGCCAGGTTTGTCTGCACGCAGACAGGCACGTTGAGGATTGAGTTCGCCGTCTTTTTTTCTTCAGAGATGTGCTGGCACCCGCAGTTCCTGCCCTCACCTCCCCTGCCAGCTGTATGCTCCCACCTCACAGCTGCGCCAGTGCAGCTGTTTTCATGGAAAACCACTGAGAAGTGTCTTCCCAGTGAGATGTTCTGTGTTAAGTGTAGCTGTGTGAAAGAAAAAGCTTCTTCTGAGCCTGAGGAGATCACTGACCTCGGGGGCCTGCAGACAGAGAATTGCTCAACTTCCACTTCAGCTGCAGGGAAACGTGTGCCTGTGGCAGGGGGTTGGAGATTCATGATCCTTGAGGTCCCTTCCAACCATTCTGTGACTCTGTGTGATTCTGTGTGTGGGGGTGCATGCACCCTTAAAGAATGGCATCTCTAAGGATGAAGTAATAGGTACCAATTTTAGATTGTTCTCTGAGATCTTCAAATTCCAGAGTAACTGGACTAACTCTTCAGAGTCTGGATAACTGCATAGAGAATTCCGTTCTAGCTCTGCTCAATTCTGTAAGCTTTTTTTCCCCTTAGGAATGTGTTTTTTCAACTGTGTGGCCTCCGTGTGGCAGCACTTGCATAAACATAGAGCACGGCTGTCCTTAACTGTGCAAGTGCCAAGTTTCTGCCTGGCTGGCTCACAGCACCTTTGCTTTCTTGTAGGGCACTGTGAAAGCCTTGTAACTGTCTCATGGATGGGGCTTTGCTATCGTGTCAGTTAACTAGTTTTGTGTGAACCTTCACAGTATCCCAATGAAAAAATATTCCATCTTACAGGTGGGAGGCTGCAGTTTGCCAAATATATAAGAAAACACCAGGTGTTTGACTTCTGCTTATCTGATGGTTTAACAAATGAGCATCCTTCCTTCGCTGATCCTGTTCTCTCTCCAGATGGACTGTAGGTAGGAGCCAGTCATGATCTATTTGGAACCTAGAGTCCCAGTTTCCCTGGTGATGCATGGAGTTTGCAAGCTAGCTGCAGAAATAGCACACTTCTGTGCCCAGGTTTTTCATTGATTTGAAAAAGCTGGAGATTCTTGTTGAGAGCCCAGGCTGCTAGGAGAATTAAATTCCAGCAGCAGAAAAGTATGGCCATTCTGTGTAGTATTTCACAGACTTCAAATAAACAAGCCAGAACTCTCTTGCAATGGTAAAAGTAATCATTTTTAGACTCCTGCCAGACCACTGTTTAAAAAAGAAAGAAGAAAAGCTGCCTTTTGACTGAGAGTCTGCAGGCTGATTTTTTTTTGTTCTTTTTCCGCTTCCCCATTCCTCCTTTTGTACCCCATCTTCCCCTGTTTACAGCTGAACCACAGAACTACAGGATTTGGAGGATTTCATCAGGTTTCTTTTGCAGTTGGGAATATTATAGCAAGAGTTCCCTCTGGTGGTCAGTAATGGGGAAATGAATAATATTTCTGCTGTAAGAAGCTTTTTTATACTGGAAGGATTTATTGTTCAGTCACTCTGTTCAGTGTTTTTAACAACCTTTCTTTACTTAAGGCTTCTCTAGGTAATAACTGGGAACCTTTTCCAAATGCCTTTTTCCTCCCATAATTAACACTCCGCTCTTCAATAGGTTACTACCATTGATTCATCCTTTCTGTACAAAAGCTGCAATAAAGGTGGAGCTTTTCTGCCCCAACCTGCATTCTTTCACTGGCTTTTTATGGACAGAGGATGAAGTCTGAGGTGAGTGGAAAAGAACAAAGCTCTTTGCTGGAGACTTAGAAGAATAAAATCAGATCAGCTTGTAATTGTGAAAAATTCACAGTTCATAATAGTATTCTTAAAGAAGCTGGAAAATATCAAGAGAATATTTTGTTCATCTACCCAGCAGTAAAGGCCCTGCAGGCACTCAGGCCTGGTTTTCCTCTTCTGATTTGATTGTTCTTGCCAGTCAGCCTAGAGGTGATTTTTTCCTAAGGAACTCTAAAACTTTGGCTACTTACCTAAAGCCACAACTTATCAGTAGAAAGTTTCATGCTGAGTTCAATGAGCAAGTCATGAGATCATGTCAAGCAGAGAGGGTTGTGGTATGGTTATATAGTAAGGATCTGTCCTAGGCAAACATTCCAGGATTTTAAAACAAAATAAGTAAGCATCTGGGTGAAGAGATGGCTTCAACTGCGCACTTATAGCAGTAGTGCAAGGCAACCTGATGTCACAGAATCCTGCTCCAGCTATTACATTGAAGGGTTAGGCTTTGTAAATGTGGTCTACATCATATATAGATCTAGATCACTGCATTCTACTTATAAGATGAAAACCAAAAGGAGAAAAAGATGTATCCTTTATTTCCTTTATAATAGCATTTCTGTCACAGAAATGTTTTCTCTTCTGATTATTTCAGAATCTGCTGCTCAGAGCAGGTGTTTCTGCCCTGTTTATTTCTCATATGTTCACATTATGCATACGTGGCCTTTCCCATAACCAGTCACATCTGGCATGGAAATATCACCTGTGGTGATATCACTTGGTGGTTCCTGCCAGGTGCTGGCTGTGTGATGTCAACACCAAAGATAGTTCTGGCAAAATAACTGACATTAACTATTGTGTAAAGATCTCAGTGCAGAGGCTGTTAAAAATAAATAAATCTGGAGTGTGTGACAAGTAGCAAGAAGAGCTTTTAGTCCCATTCGGTGATGGATGAGGGGAGGAGTCTTTATGTTGCCAGCTGCAAAATTTCTTTATACCAAAGTCAAGATCTGCTGGTGAATTTTAGAATCACAGAATTGTTAAGATTGGAAAAGACCTCTCAGATCTCCAAGTCCAACTCCAACCCATCCCATCATGCCCACGTCCCTCAGTGCCACATCCCCACAGTTCTCAAACACCTCCAGGGACGAGGACTCTCCCACTTCCCTGTGCAGCTGTGCCACTGCAGCACCACTCTTTCTGAGAAGAAAACGTTCCTAATATTCTACTTGAACCTCCCCTGGTGTGATTTAAGGCCACTACCTCTTGTCCTACGGTAACCTGTCACAGGGGGGTGTGCTGGAGGATTGTTTTGAGAAGTAGCAAAACTGAGGAATGAAGTAGGATGGGAGGGTCGTGGAACCAGAGAAACATTAAGAATTTGTAATAAAATTAGCTGGATGTGATGCTGGTGACCATGAGCTGAGGAAACACAGCTGTAGAGCCATCAGTCGTGTTATGCCATGGATGCCAAAATACCAATGCTATTGGCCAAGGCAGGAGCAAGCCTTGAGATACAGCACGGTTCTGTACCATTGTGTCCAAGGGGGATAGCTATGAACTACAGTGAGCAATTAGGATAATTAGCAGAATAAAGAACGTGTTTCGTGAGAATTGCTGAATGGAATTGTAAGGCTCATTTAACATAGTGAGGGGAAGAATGAAATGATTCCTATGGTTCTATAAGACTTCTCTCGACGTACCCCCGGGTGGGAAGGCAGTACGTGACAAAGGGAACACCCGAGCTGAGAACAAACACATACAGACACACTGCTCCTAAGTAGCATAGAGCGAGAGCAAGACCTGAACGTTCGCAGAAGCCAGACCACTTCTGCCACAATCATTGTAGGAGGGGAAAATGGCGGCGAGCGGAGGAGCCGCTCTTTCTCTTCGTCTCTATGGCCGCGCTGAGCGCGTTGGCGCCACTCTCGCAGCAGCTCCGGGCGGCGCTCTATCCGCCTTGCCGTCTCTGTGGTGGCTCCCGGCGGCGGCGCTCTGCACCGCGGCGGGGCCGTCTCGTTGGCCGGGCGGAGGGCGGGCTTGGCGAGCCATGGCGGCCGTGCGGGGCCTGCGGATCTCGGTGAAAGCTGAGGCAACGGCGACAACTACAGAACCCCGCGGCCCGGAGCCTGAGCCTATGGAGGTGGAAGAAGGCGAATTGGAGACCATCCCCGTGAGGCGATCGCTCCGAGAGCTCATCCCGGTGAGGGACGGGCAGGGGGAGCGAAGGAGGGACCGGCACCTGAGGGGGGGCAGGGTACGTAGGGGCGGCACTGAGGGCACTTGGGGGCTTCCTGTGAGGGAACGGGGGATGGCGGGGCGGGAGGGAGGAAAGCGGGGAGGGGCTGAGGGGGTGAAGGGAGGAAGGGGGAGGAGGTGAGGAGAGGAGGGGTGGGGAGCTGAGGGTGGGGGGACCGGCTGAGGAACGGGGGTGTGAGTGGGAGGCACCGGCGGTGCGGCTCGGAGGGTTTGTTTCTTGTTTTTTGTTTTTTTGTTTTAACTCGCTGTCCTTAGATAAGTTCAGGTACGGTCAGGTTGAACGTGTGAAAGTGGGTCAGATTTGATCTCCGTTCCTAAGTAGGCTTTTGTTCTGAAAACGCGTGTGGAAAAATGCTTGAGAAACTAATCTCTAATTAGCTGGTTGATCGACATGCTTCAGCTTCTACCAAATACGTGGCCTAAGAGGCAGCACCCTACTGTACGGACTTCCTTGTGCTCCATCAGTCACCCCAAACAGTGCTGGTTTGGTTGGTTTGCCTTTTTTTTTTTTTTTTTTCCCCCCATTGAAAAACTAAGACGTTTATTTTTGCTGTTCTCGTATCTTTCTCTTTTAAATATCTGCAACTTTAAGGGAAGTTTGGTACTAAGAAAAGCTGTTAGGCTCAGTGTGTGACTGT